ACCCTAGACCGCCTCAAGAAGAGCTCCGGAAGGGAACCCGAGCATGTATTTCGAACCCTCGGCCCCCCGAGACCGTGAGGACCCCTGTACAAGGCTCCAAGACAAGAGGCCCCCCCATAGGACCCCATGAAGCGCCCAAAGGGGCACCAAAAAATCCCCCGAAGGCGCCCAAGGGGCTCTCAGGAGCAACCCATCACAACCGCCAGATCCCCAAGGGGTCGGCGGTGTCTTGTAAGCCCAAGGATCTCTGAGATCTGGCGGCTCCAGAGGATGCCCTTCTCAGAGCGTCTCGGAACCCTCTGGAACGAATTTATCCTCGTCCCCGCTCGACAGACCCCCGACGTCGTGATTTGATCCCTTCTTTTTTTACGACGCGGATCCCCCAAAGGTCTGGACCCCTTCTCAGGGACCGGCTTTTCATCCTCAGTCGCTTCTAGACGGTCCCGAGGCCCGGTAAGGGCCCCCCAGAGGCGCGAAACTGTCGAAACCCTTCCCTCGTGGATCTTTCCATGACGCGCAGTCCTCGTCCCAGCCCCGTCCCATCCTTTGAACCCATCTGCTCGGACCGCGTCTGGGAGGCCAGCCGAAAAAAAGATCGGGGATCTCCTGACCCGGGTCGATCCAGACCCGGGTCAAAATCAGGCCTGCTTAAGATCCTGCACCCAAGCCCGGGTCAAAGCGCAGGATCCTGCAGGATCCTGCACCCAAGCCCGGGCCAATGCGAACCTGGCGCTGCAGGATCCTGCAAGATCCGGCGCTCTGGCTGACCCCCGTCTGGAGGAGGAGGAGGAGGAGGAGGAGGAGGAGGAGGAGGAGGAGGAGGAGGAGGAGGAGGAGGAGGAGGAGGAGGAGGAGGGGGAGGAGGAGGAGCAGGAGGAGGAGGAGGAGGAGGAGGAGGAGGAGGAGGAGGAGGACCCGGCTCCCGATTAAAGACCGGCCCGCGCCTCTCCGGCGCTCTCAAGGGGGGGGGGGGGGGGCGGGCGCGGAGGTCGGGGATTCCTGCGGGCCCAGGTCCATCCAGGCCCCGAGCCAGGGGCTCCTCCTCCCTCCTCCCCTCCTCCTCCTCCTCCTCCTCCTCCTCCACCTCCTCCACCTCCTCCTCCTCCTCCTCCTCCTCCTCGGCCGTTCTGGCTCAGGTGGTGACTCCTGAGCTTGCAGCAGCAGTCTTCAGAGCGGCAGTCGCTGCTGTGAGCCGTGGCTCGTTTCCAGCCTTCAGTTCGTGGGATCTCAGCCCACACGCGTTCATCTTTCCCGAGCCTGCAGGATCCTGCGCCTGAAACCAGGTCAGTGCGCCCCTGGCCCTGCAGGATCCTCCACGATCCGGCGCTCTGACTGGCCCCCGTTTGCAGTGACCCCCATCTCTTGAGCCCCGACGTCAGCGCTCGGCCGGGGGCGCGGGTGCGGGGCGAGGGTCTGTGCAGCGCCGTCCCTGGGCATTCGCGCGGCCCTCTGGGGGAGAAGGTGCTTTTGCCGTTGGCAGGTCTTCGAGCTGGCAAGCCGGCGCGCCCGACATGAAAACGGGAAAAAGGTGAACGTTTCCTCATTCGGCGTTTCGACATTGGGCGGAACAGGGGGGAGGGGGGTTCTGGCCCTGGACCTTTGCTTGATGCAACTGTTTGCAACAATGCGTTCTATGGGGGAGACTCCACCAGCTTGAAACAGGCGCCCAACACAGCCAAGATCTGTCCCATGGGGGCGGGGAGGGGGGTGCGAGTGCCCGCGCCGATCGGCAAAACAATGCATGAACATGTTCACACAGGAGAACGTTGTCTCGTTGGCGTCGTCTCGTGTGAGGAGGTCCCTCCGGCGCTATGGAAGGACACCGTTTCTTCGGCCACAACATGGCGGGTCGCAGTCATCATGTGTTGTGACTCCGTGCGTTTCGTACTCAGCATTTTGCTTGCTTGTTTGGTCTTCGAATCGGCAGGTCGGTGCGGCCGAAATGGATACAGAAACAAAAAGAGGGCGATGACCACCTCAGCTCTGTCCACGTGGTTGTCAGGCCCATGTCAGCCTCTCCTCCTCCTGCGCCTCTCTCTGTACTCCCTTGTGCGCCGCCATATCGGCTCACAAGGGCCCTTGAGTCATATCGGCGCGCAGGCGACGGGCGCGCCCTGGCCCCCGTAAAAGGAAAGAGAACTCACAACACAGGTCCCCTCAATTGTACTTCGTGTCTCTCTGTATTGAAGCGCTTCGCTCATTCCGCCGGCCCGTATTGCGCGCCGTTGTCGACTGACCGAGTGGTCTTTCGCGGAGCGGAGCTGCAGGGGCGGCGGCTGTTTTTATCAAGCTTTGCGTTCCACGTGTGTTGGGGGCTTCTTGGGGCCTCTTAGGAGCCTCTTGGGGACTCCTGGGGGCTTCTTAGGGCCGAGGGCTCGAAATGTTGTTTCGTGTTTCCCCCCCGTGGGACCTCTCTTGGGGCGTTCTTTCTTGGGGCCTTCTTGAGCCGTCTTGGAGACCTCTTGGGCCGTCTTGGAGCCCTCTTGGGGCCCAGCCTCTTGGGGCGGTCTTGGGGACCTCTTGGGCCGTCTTGGGGTGTCGGGAAGGTGGAATCGCCAACATCTCTCCAAAACTCAAGGGACATCAATGATTTTTGCCTCTTGGGGCCCTCTTGAGAGTGCTCTTTGAAGCCTCTTGGCCCGTCTGGGGGCCATCTTGGGCGTCTTGGAGCGATATTGTTGCATGTCGGAGCTCTCTCGTATCATCTCGAGGGGCTCTTGGCCTCTTGGCCTTTCTTGGGGCTCTCTGGGCGGCCTCGAGGGCGGCGCCCAGGAGGAAAACCATCTCTGACCCGAGTCGCCCAGGACCTGCCCGGGGTACTTTACGTCCGGGGACCTCCAGGGGCCGCCCCGCGCGCGCGAAGTATAATGACCCCTACCCCCACGATTTCTGAGGGGGGAGAGGTTCACTTCGCTCGGGAGCTCCCGCACGAAGTGACCCCCCCCCCTCAGATATCGTGGGGGGCAAGGGTAGGGTTCGCATGTGGCCCCCCGCTGACCCGTCCTTCCCTGAGAGGCAACGCACCGCCCTGGAGTCGGCTACATACGTCGCCGATAGCTCGGCCACGGCCACATGCGCACCCCACCCCTACCCCCACGATTTCTGAGCGGGGGGGCAGGGGGGGGGGGTCGCGTGCCCTGACCTTCCAGGGGGGCTAAGAAATAGCACCAGGGCATCGACGTCCTAATTCCTGTCGAGGTTTGAGGCAGGCCAGATAGGTTTATAGGTCTGGAGTGCTACTGTTTAGCACTCTGGAAGGTCGGGGTCGCGTGTGACCCCCCACTGACCCGTCCTTCCCCGCGGGGCAGCGCTGGCAGAGCACGGGCCCCGGGGAGCCACGCACCGCTCCGCGGCGTCGGCGACGCACGTCGCCGGCAGCTCGGCCACGGGCCCCCCTCGACGGCGAGCCCGCACGCTCCAGGGGCTGGTGTGAGGTCGGGCCTGTCCCCCTGGAGGGGGATCTGGGGCGAAACATTTTGACATGCTCCAGAAATCCCTCAAACATATTCAAAAATGGTCACAAAAGCGCCCCCTTGCTATTTTTTGGCTATTTTTTAATACTCCTCCTGTAGAGTGACAGGCCCGGCTTGAGGCTAGGGGTGGGCCATCGGCCCCCTCTCGGCGATCCAGAGGCGACCGGGGGTCGATGCGTGCCCCCCCCGAGCCTAACGGCCCTGCCGTCAACCCGGATCAGGAGGATGCGCGGTAAGGATGCAAGGGCCTTGCGGGCGCCCATGCCGAAGCTTTCTGAGCGGGGCGCGGCCAACGACGGCGGCCAAGGGTGGACCGAGGAGGCAAGGATGCAAGGGGCACTCTTGGGAAAATTGTCCATCCTTCCTACGCGGGTCGATTCTACCGTGGCCCCCCACAATTCGAGCCATCACTCCGGCCCCCCCCCCTCCCGAGCGCGCTGTCGGCGTGGCGCAGCTGCTGGAGAGAGCACATCCCCGAGGCCGGGAGAAACAGCCGAGAGAAGGGCCGAAAGCACGCGACATCGAGGAACCTCGAGCCCCTCGGACCCCCACCCCGGAAGCCAGTCACCCCCCTTTCCCATGGCCTTCCAGAGGGCTAAAAAATAGCACTCCGTACTATCTGGAGTGCCTCAAACCTCGACAGAAATTAGGAAGTCGACGTCCTGGTGCTATTTTTTGCCCTCCTGGAAGGTCAGGGACGTTGCCCCTGAGTCCCCAGACCCCCGGCGCTGCAATTTTTTCGCAACGCCGACCCCGGGAGGCCTGGACCCCTTCCCCGGGACCGGTTTCCCCTCCCGGAACGTCTTGTGACGGTCCCGAGGCCGCGGAAAGGTCCCCCCGAGGCCGAAAATTGTGAAAACCCTCCCGCCGTGATTTTCCACAACGCGAGGAACTCTGAGTCTGTCCGCCCCCCTCCCCCCCGCCCAGCCGGGCACTCCGAGCGGCGGGGCACGGGTGAAACGCGCGAGTCGAGGCGGCCCGGCGGGCGCGCGGCCCGAGCAGAAAACCCGAGGGACGCCGAAGCGGGCACGAGGCAGGCGGGGCCCCGAGGGAAGCAGGTCCTGGAGAGGAGGAGGAAGAGGAGGAAGAGGAGGAAGAGGAGGAGGAGGAGGAGCAGGAGGAGGAAGTCGAGGAGGAGGAAGTCGAGGAGGAGGAGGAGGAGGACGAGGAGGATCAAGGACAGAGGCTCTGGGAGGAGGAAGTCGAGGAGGAGGAGGAGAACGAGGAGGATCAAGGACAGAGGCTCTGGGAGAAGGGGGACGAGGAGGAGCAGGATCAAGGACAGAGGCTCTGGGAGGAGGAGCGGGAGGAGGAGGAGGAGCAGGAGGATGAGGAGGAGAAGCGGGAGGAGGAGGAGGCGGAGGAGGAGGATCAAGGACAGAGTTTCTGGGAGGAGGAGGAGCAGCAGGATCAAGGACAGAGGCTCTGGGAGGAGAGGGAGGAGGAGGAGGAGGAGGAGGAGGAGGAGGAGGAGGAGGAGGAGGAGGAGGAGGAGGAGAAAGATCGAGGACAGAGGATCGAGGCTCGATGGGGTCGAGGCTCCGGGCCCCCACCCCCAACAACAGGAGGCGCAGGAGGCGCGGGCACCGATCCTGCGGCCAGGGCGCACCCCGGGCCCAGGACCGGGGCCGGGCGCCTAGCTGGCGTGGCTGGGGAGGCGCGCGCAGCGGTGCCTGGGGCCAGGGTCTGGCCCGGGCCTCAGGGCCAGCTCTGCTCGGGCAGGTGGCAGTGGGGGGTGGCCGCGAGCCCAGTCGGGCAGGTCTCTCTACAGGGGGGATCTTCAGAGGCAGGCAGCAAAAATGGCCAGGGGACGGTTCTGTCTCGACCCATGGTGGCTACGCTTGGACCGTTTTGGGACCATTCCGTGTTTCGTCCAACGTCCGCCTGTAGGAGGACATGCCCAACATAAGTCTAGAGGGAGGGGTGCAGGAACAGGAACCCCTTGGACAGGTGGTAATGGGTGGTGGTGGCCTAGAGGGGAGGTAATGGAGGTAATGGGCGCTCTTCTCGGGCAGGTGGTAACGGGGAAGTGGGTGGTAATGGGGTAATGGGCAGGTGGTAGCGGGGTAATGGGTCCTCTTCTTGGGCAGGTGGTAATGGGGGGTGGCCTCGAGTCAAGTCGGGCATCTCAAAACTACGCTACCGAGGAAACCCACATACTTATATTATGGCTGATGATAGCTGAAGTGAGGCATGTGAGAATGATGTTGGTGGCCGTTGCCCCGCCGATACCGTTGGAGACGCCAGTCAAGAGGAGAGGTGGAGAGGAGAAACGCCGCGCTAACCACACCTTGCGAGCCCGAAGCGATAGCGACCGCACCCCCGGGCGCACCCCCTGTGGCGTGGAGAAAGCGCCACGCCTGCGACGCTTTGCGAGGCCGAAACGGATAGCGACCGCACCCCCGGCGCACCCCTTGTGGCATCGAGAAAGTAACGCGCCTGCCACGCGTTGCGAGCCCGAAACGGATAGCGACCGTGCCCCCAGCGCACCCCCTGCGGCGCCGAGGAAGCGTCACGCCTGCCACGCTTTGCGGGCCCGAAACGGATAGCAACCGCACCCCCAACGCACCCCCTGTGGCGTCGAGAAAGTGCCACGCCTCCCACGCTTCGCGAAGCTGAAACGGATAGCGACCGCACCCCCGGGCGCACCCCCTGCGGCATCGAGAAAGTAACGCGCCTGCCACGCGTTGCGAGCCCGAAACGGATAGCGACTGTATCCCCAGCGCACCCCCTGTGGCGTCGAGGAAGTGTCACGCCTGCCACGCTTTGCGAGGCCGAAACGGATAGCGGCCGCACCCCCAGCGCACCCCCTGTGGCGTCCAGAAAGTGCCACGCCTGCCAGGCTTTGCGGCAGTGTCGTGGATAGCGGCCGCGCTGAGAGACCACCCCCTGCGCACCCTGTATGGTGTCCAAAAAGTGCCGCGCCTGCTAGGCTTTGCGACAGTGTTGTGGATAGCTGCCGCGGTGAGAGACCACCCCCTGCGCACCCTCCCTGGTGTCGAGAAACTGCCGCGCCTGCTAGGCATTTTGACAGTGTCGTGGATAGCGGCCGCGCTGAGAGACCACCCCCTGCGCACCCTGTATGGTGTCCAAAAATTGCCGCGCCTGCTAGCTTTTCGACATTGCCGTGGATAGCGGCCGCGGTCAGAACCCCCCCCCCGCGCACCCCCTCTGGTGACGAGAAATTGCCGCGCCCGCCGGGCTTTCCGACATTACCGTGGATATCGGCCGCGGTGAGAGACCACCCCCTGCGCACCCCGTCTGGCGTCGAGAAGTTGCCGCGCCTGCTAAGCTTTTCGACATTGCCGTGGATAGCGGCCGCGGTGAGAGACCACCCCCTGCGCACCCTCCCTGGTGTCGAGAAATTGCCGCGCCTGCGAGGCTGTTCGACATTGTCGTGGAGAGCGGCCGCGGTGAGAGACCACCGCCTGCGCACCGCCTCTGGCGTCAAGAAATTGCCACGCCTGCTCGGCGTTTCGATAGTGTCGCGGATAGCGACCGCGGTGAGAGACCACCCCCTGCGCACCCCGCTGGTGTCGAGAAATTGCCGCGCCTGCGAGGCGTTTTGTCATTGTCGTGGATAACGGCGGCGGTGAGAGACCACCGCCTGCGCACCCCCTCTGGTGTCAGGAAATTCCTGCGCCTGCTAAGCTCTTCGACATTGCCGTGGATAGCGGCCGCGGTCAGAGACCACCCCCTGCGCACCCCCTCTGGTGTCGAGAAATTGCCGCGCCTTCTAGGCTTTTCGACATTGCCGTGGATAGCGGCCGTGGTGAGAGACCACCCCCCGCGCACCCCCTCTGGTGTCGAGAAATTGCCGCGCCTGCTAGGCTTTTCGACATTGTCGTGGATAGCGGCCGGGGTGAGAGACCAACCCCCGCGCACCCCCTCTGGTGTCGAGAAATTGCCGCGCCTGCTAGGCTTTTCGACATTGTCGTGGATAGCGGCCGCGGTGAGAGACCACCGCCTGCGCACCCCCTCTGGTGTCAGGAAATTCCTGCGCCTGCTAAGCTCTTCGAGATTGTCGTGGATAGCGGCCGCGGTGAGAGACCCCCCCCTGCGCACCCCGTCTGGCGTCGAGAAGTTGCCGCGCCTGCTAAGCTTTTCGACATTGTCGTGGATAGCGGCCGCGGTGAGAGACCACCCCCTGCGCACCCCCTCTGGTGTCGAGAATCTGCCGCGCCAGCGCTGTGCTGTGCTGTGCTGTGCTGTGCTGCGCTGCTGGTGTGTGTGTGTGTGCTCTGTGTGTTGTGATGTGTGCTTGTGTGCTGTGCTGTGCTGTGGTGAGCTGTGCTCTGCTGTGCTGCGCTGCTTGTGTGTGTGTGAGTGTGTGTGTGTGTGTGTATGTGTGTGCGCTGTGTTGTGTTGTGTTGTGATGTGTGTGTGTGTGTGCGTTGTGTGAGTTGTGTGTGTGTGTGTCTATGTGTATTGTGTGCTGTGCTGTGCTGTGCTACGCTGTGCTGTGCTGTGCTGCGCTGTGATGTGCTGAATGCAAGGAGAGGGAGGGGGAAGGTGGGGTGTGAGAGCCGCGGGTGCGACGAGGCAGGGAAGGAAACCAAAACCCCACTAAGCATGTGGGGAACAATAGCGGAGGGACGATTTCTCGACCGCTCTTGGCTATTTTGGTAACTTGTCTGACTATGGTTCGTCTTTCGTCCCAAGCTCCGCCTGTGGGAGGACGTGCCCGACCCAAGCCCAGAGGGGGGGGGCGCAGGAAGAGGAACCCCTCGGGGCCCCTCTTGGAGCCAGCAGGGGCCCGACAGGGCCTCTCAGGGCCCCTCTTCACCCCCCCCCTTGTCGCTGACCTTCCAGGGTGCAAAAAAATATCACCCCAGAACCACAAAACTTGACCTGGACTGCCTCAAACCACGACAAAAATCAGGAAGTCGACATCCTGGTGCTATGTCTGAGCCCTCCTGGAAGGTCCGAGTCGCCCCCCCCCCCCACCCCACGACCACTTGTTCGAGCTTCGTCGTGAGCCGTTTCCACACGAGCCCCCCCCCCGGCGAACGGACCGTGAGCGAGCAACGACATATGCACACGTATGCCCTCCGCGGTCTTGAGTGCACGAATGTCCTCGCTCAAACGCCCTCCAGGGGAAGCTAACCGCGTACGCGTACATATGTTGCTGGCCTCTGAGACCGCAGGGCCCGTCTCCCCCGCCCCATGGGAGCGCGACCGCGGCGCAGCACCTCGGGACCCGTCTGCTTCGCGGCGGCCGCGGGGGCCCGCCTCAGCTCGCGGGGCCGGCCTCGCGGGCGCTGCTCATCAAGGGGGGGCGGGCGGTGAGCCTGACCTTCCAGGGGGGCTAAAAAATAGCACCAGGGCATCGACGTCCTAATTCCTGTCGAGGTTTGAGGCAGGCCAGATAGGTTTATAGGTCTGGAGTGCTACTTTTTGGCACTCTGGAAGGTCGGGGGAGCTGGGGGGCGAAGAGACCTGCACCTGCTGTGCCCCTCTGAGGGCCTGAAGCCTCGAGGAGAACGCGTCGGTCGGAGGAGCTGGGTCAGAACATGGAGTGGGAAGGCGGGGGGCGGGTGGAGCAGATTGGGTCCAGGCCCTCCCAGAGAGTAGCAACGCACACAGCAAACGCAGATCGGTTCTTGAAGTAGGAAGGCACTTGAAGTAGATTGGGATCTGGAAATCACACTTACTTTCAATGACCAGCGTGTAAGACTCGGGTTCGGGGGACTCGAACAACTGGACCTTCAAACACCAGGACGGGCCCGTCAAAGAGCATCGGGGAACTCGAGCTCTGGCGAACTCGAGTCTTTCGTTTCCCCAAAGGCCAATGAAGGTGCCCCTCTTCACCTCCCCGTCGTCGTCGCCGCCATCGCCGTCGTCGTCGCCGCCATCGCCGTCGTCGTCGTCGTCGTCGCCGTCGTCGTCGTCGTCGTCGTCATCGTCGCCGTCGCCGTCGCCGTCGCCGTCGCCGTCGCCGCCGCCGCCGCCATCGTCGTCGTCGTTGACGCCGTCGTCGTCGCCGTCGCCGTCGTCGTCGCCGTCGTCGTCGTCGTCGTCGTCGCCGTCGCCGTCGTCGTCTTTGGTGGCAACTCGTGGGAGTTTCCCACACCTTCTTGTTGGCTCTTTCGAATCGACGCTGGTCGACGCTGATTGATGCTAAGCCAACGCTATCTGCCATCTCATCGACGACCAGACGCCACTCGACGCCAACGCACCCTGCAGACGGAGTTGCGAGGCTATACGAGGCTCCCATGATTTGCTACCGAAGCCGTGGCCGTCGTCGGCCACGTCCCCAGACCCCCGACGTTGCGATCTTTTCTCAGCGTCGCTCCCAGGAGGTCTGGACCCTGTCCCCCTGGCCGGGTGTTTACCTGAATCGTTATCTGACGGTCCCGAGGCCTGGGGAAGGGCCCCCAGGGGGCCGCAGATACAGAAAAATCTCCTGCCGTGACTTGTTTCACGGCGCGAGGGGGTCTGGGCCCGTTACACAACGCCCTCGCCCACCCATCACGCAACTCTTGAGCAGGGGCCGACCGTCCCGGTATTCCTATAGGCCTACCACGACATGTTCTTAGAACCCAAAAGTGTTCTAAGAACAGAAGCAGTGTTCTTAGAACATGAACCCGATGTGCTAACACAAGACAGCCCCAGCCAAAAATGTTTTCAGAACATTTCGTGGAGACCGCAAAACGTTATTCGAATCATGTTCCAAGCTACTCTAGCCTTGACCACCAGAAAGAATTTCGAGCACTGGAACAAAGTACCGAAACTCGAGGGTCTTCACGTGTCGTGCTCTGGGAGACACTCGCCCGACACTGTTTCGACACTCTCTCGACCCCTCTCCTGGTGCTCGAAATTGTTCCTGGGATGTGGTCCTTAAGTACGACTGGAGCAACCTACTCCAGATTTCGTAATAAAGGGAGGGGGGTCTCATTTCGGGGGGGGTCTCTTCCAGGCTATCTTGGAGGGCCTGGGGGGTCTGGGGACGATGTTTTGGAGGGTTCTCCCACGGGGGAGGTCTGAAATGGCTGGTCTTGGAGGGTCCAGACCCCCTCCCTTTTATTACGAAATCTGGAGTAACCTCAGAACATTGCTCGGCAAGCCCATGGGCACGCCAGGACGCTCCGCCGCTGCTCGGCCATCCCGCAACGCCCGAGCCTCGCCGCCCGGCTCCTCGCCCGAGGGCCCGCCGCCGCCGTCGGCCACCTCGGGCGTCCACAGAATGGATCGGGGGGGGGGTAAGAACCCCGACCTTCCAGCGTGCTAAAAATGCTAACAAATCAACACTCCTGACCTAGAATCCTATCTGGACTGCCTCAAACCTCGACAGGAATTAGGACGCCGACGCCCTGGTGCTATTTTTGCCTAAGAGCGAAGACTGATAGGTTCCTCATAGGGTCAAAAAAGAGAGCATCATGACTCCCCAGGGGGGTCTGGGCGGCATCCGGACAGGGATCCGCGGAAGTCGTTTTAAGCAAACAGTTACACACTTCGTGGTCTTCGAGTTCCCAGAACTCCATTCCTGGGCATGATTTTGAATGCCCGGAGCCAACTGTAGGCCACTTCGTGGTCTTCGAGTTCCCAGAAATTTTGAATGCTGAGGCAGGCTGAGGCTGAGGCTGCTGAGGCTGAGGCAGGCTGAGGCTGAGGCCGAGGCTGAAGGCAGACTGAGGCTGAGGCTGAAGCAGGCTGAGGCTGAGGCTGAGGCAGGCTGAGGCTGAGGCTGAGGCAGGCTGCTGCTGAGGCAGGCTGAGGCTGAGGCTGAGGCTGATGCAGGCTGAGGCTGAGGCAGGCTGAGGCTGAGGCCGAGGCTGAAGGCAGACTGAGGCTGAGGCTGAAGCAGGCTGAGGCTGAGGCTGAGGCAGGCTGAGGCTGAGGCTGAGGCAGGCTGATGCTGAGGCAGGCTGAGGCTGAGGCTGAGGCTGATGCAGGCTGAGGCTGAGGCAGGCTGAGGCTGAGGCCGAGGCTGAAGGCAGACTGAGGCTGAGGCTGAAGCAGGCTGAGGCTGAGGCTGAGGCAGGCTGAGGCTGAGGCTGAGGCAGGCTGATGCTGAGGCAGGCTGAGGCTGAGGCTGAGGCTGATGCAGGCTGAGGCTGAGGCAGGCTGAGGCTGAGGCCGAGGCTGAGGCAGACTGAGGCTGAGGCTGAAGCAGGCTGAGGCTGAGGCAGAGGCAGGCTGAGGCTGAGGCTGAGGCAGGCTGATGCTGAGGCAGGCTGAGGCTGAGGCTGAGGCTGATGCAGGCTGAGGCTGAGGCAGGCTGAGGCTGAGGCCGAGGCTGAGGCAGCTGAAGGCTGAAGGCACTGAGGCTGAGGCTGAAGCAGGCTGAGGCTGAGGCTGAGGCAGGCTGAGGCTGAGGCTGAGGCAGGCTGATGCTGAGGCAGGCGGAGGCTGAGGCTGAGGCTCATGCAGGCTGAGGCTGAGGCAGGCGGAGGCTGAAGCCGAGGCTGAAGGCAGACTGAGGCTGAGGCTGAAGCAGGCTGAGGCTGAGGCTGAGGCAGGCTGAGGCTGAGGCTGAGGCAGGCTGATGCTGAGGCAGGCTGAGGCTGAGGCTGAGGCTGATGCAGGCTGAGGCTGAGGCAGGCTGAGGCTGAGGCCGAGGCTGAAGGCAGACTGAGGCTGAGGCTGAAGCAGGCTGAGGCTGAGGCTGAGGCTGAGGCAGGCTGAGGCTGAGGCTGAGGCAGGCTGAGGCTGAGGCAGGCTGAGGCTGAGGCAGGCTGAGGCTGAGGCTGAGGCAGGCTGAGGCTGAGGCAGGCTCAGGCGGAGGCCGAGGCTGCAGGCAGACTGAGGCTGAGGCTCAAGCAGGCTGAGCCTGAGGCTGAGGCAGGCTGAGGCTGAGGCTGAGGCTGAGGCTGAGGCTGAGGCAGGCTGATGCTGAGGCAGGCTGAGGCTGAGGCTGAGGCTGAGGCAGGCTGAGGCTGAGGCAGGCTCAGGCTGAGGCCGAGGCCGACGGCAGACTGAGGCTGAGGTTGAAGCAGGCTCAGGCTGAGGCTGAGGCAGGCTGAGGCTGAGGCTGAGGCAGGCTGATGCTGAGGCAGGCTGAGGCTGAGGCTGAGGCTGATGCAGGCTGAGGCTGAGGCAGGCTGAGGCTGAGGCAGACTGATGCTGAGGCTGAAGCAGGCTGAGGCTGAGGCTGAGGCTGGATGAGGCTGAGGCAGGCTGAGGCTGAGGATGAGGCTGAGGCTGAGGCTGTGACTGCGACTGCCGTTGCCACTGCGACTGTCATCGCGAATGCGACTACGACTGCGAGAACAGCAGAATTCTAGGTTGCTGTTAGGTTGCTTTGCCAGGATAATTTAGCCCTCCTGGAAGGTCAGGGGAAAAGGTGCACCTTTCGTACACCTGTCGTACCCCTTCGGGGCCCTAAAAGGGGGCTCGTCGCTTATAGGGCCCCTTTTGAGGGCCCCTGTCGTGCAGCCCTCGACGCCCCCACTGCCGAACGCCCGACCACCTCCAGGGCCGCGGCCGCCGGCGGCGGCGCCGCCGGCGCGCCCGGCGCCGGGCTCTCCGCCTCGGTGGGGCACAGCGAGGGCGAGGAGCCCGCGGGGTGCAGCTCCGAGCAGCTCTGCTCCTGGGGCCAGGCTGCGCAGTACCCCCTCGGGCAACGAAGAAATCATGACGGAAGGTTTTTGGCTATGTTCGGCCTCTGGGGGCCTTTACCGGCCCTCGAGACGGTCAAAAAACGACTCAGAATGAAAAACCGGTCCAGGAGAATGGGTCGAGACCTCCAGGGGTCGACGTAATGAAAAAATCATGAAGTCGGGGGCCAGACTGCGCAGGAGGCATCTGTACACCACCACCGTGGCTTGCCAGGGCCAACCTGGGCCTTGGCATGGTGTATACCGCAGGTTTGCGTCGTGTCGACCCAGGCGATGGTTCTTGACACCGCGGGAATCGTTCAACCTTGAACGATCGGCCGTTTCCGAAACGCCACATCGTTGAACATCGATCGATTCTGAAACGCCGTCGGCGTTCAACGTTGAACTCCGGCGGCGGGGTCGCCTCTGGTCGACGCGACACGAACCTGCCGTACGCCGTCCTGGCCAATGCCAGGGGGGCGTGTACACTGTAGTGGGGCCCAGGATGGCCCTGGCCAGGCACGGTGGTGGTGGTGGTGGTATAAATGCCGTCTGCAGAAGACATGCTATGAATATAAGCTTTTGGATGTCCGCGCAGATTCCTTGGATGGGTGCCGGTCCCCCCAGCGCTGCCCCTGGCGCTCGGAGCGCGCCAGGGGCAGCGCCAGACGACCTCCGAAAGTTCATGTGTCGGTACGGCAGATTCGTGTCGCGGGGATCGTTAACCTTGAACGATCGGCCGTTTCCGAAACGTCAGATCGCTCAACATCGACCGATTCTAGGTCGCCGGCGGCGCTCAACGTGGAACGCTCACGGCGGAGTCCGACGCGACGCGAATCTAGCGAGCGTTTTCTTCTTCGGCGTTTCGACATTGGGCGGAAGGGGGGGTGTCTGGCTCCGGACCTCTTCTTAATGCGTCTGTTCGCAGCAGTACACCCTATGGGGTAGGCGCCAACTGCCCGAAACAGGCGCCAAAAACAGCCAAGATCTACTCCAGGGGGGGGGTGGGTGCGAGGGCCCGCGCTGATCGGCAAACCAAGGAACAAGAACACGACGACCTACCGTAGCTCGTTGCTTCCCTGAGGTCCGCCAGCGAGAGGGAGGAGCAGCTCTGGTCCGCCAGCGACAGCGCGGAAGCGAACTCGTCGGCGCCGCGCGCCAGCCGGCACCGCGGCGCCTCCGAGGGGGCGGGAAGGCCCACGCCGCCGCCGTGCGCCGCGGGCGCCGTCGCGGCGGCCGCCTCTTCGCCCCGCGGCTCCTGCCCCTCTTGGCTGCACGCATAGAGCGACCCCAGGGGCAAGATGGACCACTGGTGCGCGGATCTTTGGGGAGCACGAGGAGTCCAAACTCCAGTGCGAAAGCCACTGCTATCGCACCGCCTTCCGCGCTCGGGGGTGGCCCAAGGGGCCCGCACCCAAGGTCACTCTGGCCTTGGGTCGGGCATGTCCTCCTACTGGCGGATTCTGAAGGAAAACATATGTAGCCAAACACTCCTCAGCAATAGCCAGCAGTGCGCGACACATCGTCCCTGGCTTAGTCCTGCACTTCCTGCCTTATAGAGGGCCATGCCCGACCCCAACTCTGGCGAGAGGTCGCTCTTACGTGCAGTCGATCCTCCTCCTCCTCCTCCTCCTCCTCCTCCTCCTCGCCCACCGCGGCGCCGTCGGCCTCGCGGCCCTCCTCCGCCGCCGGCTCCAGCTGCCCCGCCGCCGGAGCCTCGGCCCTGGCGGCGCCGCGCCTGTTGCCCCGCGTCGGCGAGGCGCGCTGCCGCGCCGCCCTCGGCCCCGCGGCGGCGCCCGCCCCGCGGGCGCGGCGGGCGCCGCAGGGCCCGAGGCCTCGGCGGCCCCCTCGGGCGGCGGAGCCCCCGCGCCCGCGCCGGCCTCGCCCGCGGCGCCCGCGCCCTCGGGCTCCGCCGCGGCGGCCGCGGCCGGCGGCTCGGCGGGCGGCGCCGCGCCGCGGCCGCCGGGGAGGGGCGGCGGCGAGGGCTCCTCGGGGCCGCCCCGCTCCGCCGCGCGGGGCGGGCTCGGCGCGCGCGCGCCGGCGCCCGGGGGCGCCTGGGCCGCGGCCCGTGCGCGGGCGTGCGCGGGGCGTCCGCGGCGGCGGGGGCGCCCCGCCGCGGCGTCTGCGGGGCCGGCGGCTCGGCGGCCTCGGCACCGCTGCCCGCGGGCAGCAGGAAGGCCGACGGGTCCGGCCCGGCGCCGGGCCGGGAGGAGTCGGGGGACGCCGCGGGCGACCTCAGCCACTTGCCCTTCGGCGAGCCCTGGACGCTCTGCGGCCGTCGGTGCCTGCGGGGCGCGGGCAGCTTGTCTCACCACGTCGGCTCGCGTGCGCCCTCCCTGTGAGGAGCTCTTCGCGTCCCTTCGCCCACGTTAAAAGGAGTCTGGGCTCCACTTCCCTTCACCCTCCACATCACACCTGTGATGACAAGGAGAACCGTTGTAGACACAGCCCGTCTCGCGATGCTGGCGCCACAGGGCATCAGGAAACAAAGCAGGAACACCACAATGGCAAGCAGCGACGCAGAGCAAAAAAGTGGAGCACCAGCAATCTGAACCATGACATACCCACGCAGAAAATCTGTCCTAATGGACACGAGGTTGAATACTACGCAAAAACGGACGGCACGAAACCCTTACGCCTTGATCGGTCCCGCCAGCGGGTGATACACAAAGCGAAGAAGAAGCATGGAATCGCACTGCGACTTTCACAATGTCGGCTCTTCCAACAACCAGAGCTACCACACTACGGGCATCCCTGAATGCCCCAACCACGATCATCGCGCTATCAAAAGGATCGCATGATAAGGAATGAAGGGGCTTTTTTCTGGCAAAGGCGAACCTCTACCAGCCAAAGGTTCCTCGACTTATATTGAAGGAACGGCCCGAAAACCCGAGCCTCGCAAGAGCCCACAAAAATGGTCCTTCTTTCAACGCTTATATGCATTGGCATAGCTAGGGAAACGCACCGCCCAAATGTTGCGTTCGAAGAAGATTGAGAGCCCCCCGATGCCGAGATCGACGAGAAGCACCCGGATATGACAAACACACATCGCTGGATAGCCGGGCCAGCCTCGCCCTGGGCCTGCCCGCAAGGCCTCCCCCCCTCCTCCTCCGCCCTGACCGCGTCCTCCGTCCTCCGCCCTCCCTCCACCGCTGTCCTCCGCCCTCCGTCCTCCGTCCTTCGTCCCCCCTCCGTCCTCCGTACTCCGTCCTCCTCCTCATCCTCATCATCCTCATCCTCCGCCATCCGTCCTCCTTCTGGGTCATCCTCCTCCCGGGTCTGCCCGAGGGGCCTCTCCCCCCCCTCGAGGCCTTGGGTCCCCCTCTGGCGTCTTCCCGCTGAAGACGCGCCGGACGTTCTCCATCAGGGACGCGCCGGCGGACGGCTCCCTCCGGCTGGAGTCCCCTGCCAAGGCCGCGGCCTCGGGGGGAGGAGGACAACGAGGAGGACGAAGAGCACGACGACGAGGAGAACGAGGACGAGGAGAAGAGACGAGGACGAGGAGGACGAGGAAGAGGATGACGAAGAGGGCGACCGAGGAGAAGGAGGGAGGCATGAACACAAACATTAAAGGAGAACGAGGACAAGGAGCAGAGAAGAGAAGAGGAAGCAGGGAGTGACGAATTTGTATGGAGGGAAGAAAAAGGATAGGTGGGACCAGAGTGGCCTCGCGGAGAAGGTCAGAAAGGTCTACCCGCGCTGCTCTCACCGCCACTGATCTCAGTTTGCTGGCTGACCAAAGCAATACGAAAAGTGTTCGATGTGACCTGTAAAGATGCGGTCGCAATGAAACCTGACCGGACAATAACGGGAAACGCCCCCTTTGCCCACGGTGTTCGCACGAATCAGCAGATCAAGCGTACTAATAATACTATCAATGCGAATAATAATACTATTATTAGTAACCAGCATAACAATAACACTACTCACAACAATAGCAATCACAATAATATGAATAATACGGAGGATGTAAAGAGAAGCAATCTGAGAACGACCATGGGGCGGCTGACCAGAATGACGGCGTGGAAACGAAGACGAGTGGGAGCAGAAGGGAGGACGGGGAAATTCCAGGGGCCAAACCAATGGAAACAACGCCATGCTCTTATGGATGTTCTTGCCTTCGAAGCGGCCTCCGGCGTCTTCGAGCAGAGTCTCAATGGGATGAAGGCTTCGCGAGCGGTGCTGTAAAACGTGCGGTCGTTGTGATGGTCCTCCGCTGGACCTCGGGCGTGCGTTCGTGAGCCGTTAAGCGCTCATTCGGGCCCTCTAGAAAGCCTTGTTGGGGCTCGTTGGGAGAGGAGCCATTTTCCTGTCGTCATCGTCGCCGTCGCCGTGGTCCGTGGTCCGTGTCGTCGTCGTCGTCGTCGTCGTCGTCGTCGTCGTCGCCGTCATCGTCGTCGACGTCGTCGTCCGTCGGCGTTCGTCATCCGTCGTCTCACGTGGGCCGCCGTTGCCGAGGGAGCCCCAAGACGGCCCCAGAGAACACCAAGGTAACCTCAAGACGGGCGATGTTACGTCAATGCCCCCCCTGAAATAACAGAAGCCTCGCACGGGGGCGTTCGGGAACTTCTTGTGGGCCTCTTGGGAGCCGTTTTCGGGCCCCATGGGCCTCTTGAGGCCTGCTCGGGCCTCTTGGGGCGGAAAGCTCGAATTGTCGATTCGTGTTCCCCCTCTTTGGTTTTTCTTGGAGCCGTCTTGGGGCCCTCTTGGGACCTCTTAGGCGCCTCTTGGTCCGTCCTGGGGTCCTCTTAGGCCGTCTTGGGGCCCTCTAACAGGCCATATTGGCCACCTTGGAACAATATTGGGGGCCTCTTGAGCCGTCTTGGGACGTCGGAAGCTCGAATGGGCGACAACCCCAAACACATTGAACATCGCACGAGCAATGTTGGGAGGGCTTCTGAGGCTCTCTTGGGCATCTCGAAAGCGTCTGAGGCCGTCTTGGAACGCTCTTAGACCGTCTTTGTTTTTCCATACAGCAACGCGCAACGGACTCCCATGGGCCTCCAGAGCGTCGCAGACGCCCCAAGAGAGCTCCAGAACGGCCCAAGAAGCCGCGAAGAGGGAGAGGGCGCCAAGACGGCGCTGGCTGGATCCAGCTCGATGCAGAGCAACTAGTGCGCGCTGCGGCGTGCAACATTGACGGCAATTGAAAACGGCACGCAACAACGTCTAACTAAGATTGAAGCATGAGTTTCAACATGCGCTGTCGCCGCTATCTCCTAGGAGCCGCTGGCATCACCATCATCGGCCCAACACCAAAACGTACCGGACCGTAAAGACGCAGAGTTCGAGCTTACAGCAGCAGGTTCGGCTGTGCAGGCGCCCCGACAAGGGTTTCATTGCAGGATCGGCGTCCTGGACTTTGCCTGCAACGATGACTCTTTGCCTTCCGCCGCGCGCACGAGTCGTGCCGGCAAGTGCCAAGTGCTAGGGCTCGGCGACATTGTTCGAGCCCTCAGGGCACGGTGCACGCAAAACCGAAACTGCAAATATGGAGACACATTGAAGTCGATGCGCAACGTCTCGGCGCCGAGCGACACGCGCCGAGCTCCCAGTCTGGAACCACCGTATAGGACCCACAACGCACTCGTTCTCCTCTGGCTCTTTTAATTATCTGCCCCCCCCTCTCTTCCTATTAGCTGATTCGCCTCTACCCGACCCAAAGGTCTTACTTTCAATATGCCCATCGTTGAAGCATTTGGTACTGATTCGGAACGCGGCTTGGACGAATCTGATGGCAGTACTAGTCTGGCTTGAAACATCGTGCTTTCTTGGAATGCTATCGGGACTAGAACCGCGCGCCACGCGCGCTCTTTGGTTCCAGCCGACTCCGCAGTCGGTACCAGTAAGCGTTGCACGAAGGAACGCGGGGCACTGTTTCTTCAAAACCAGGACCCAACACCACAGGATGGTTGAGAAAGAAACATGAGTTCTGACATCTAAGGACCTGACGGATCCCCGGGGCGGCGAGAACAGCCAGAACTGGAGCCATGTGTGCCCTGCTTGCACATGGCGAAGCCCGGCCACCTCCCTCGATCGAGAATCAAGCCTGAGGTCGCGAGCATCTAACTCAATTGCCTCACTGCCCCTCTCTGCAGCGACTCGATCTCAGGTCAAAACGGTGGCAGTAGGCACGCCTGTTCACGAAGAGATGCAGCGCAGGCATAGATGGTTGGGAATGAATGCTACAATGGATGTGTGAAACATTGCACGAGGCCTCACAAATGACTCGTCATCGCCGCGAATCCCTTCTCAAGCGCGACAACCTCGGCTAAAAATGGGGATGCCCAAGGCCCCAGATGATGCGAACCGTCCACACCCCCCCCGCTCCTGCTCTTCAAAACGCTTACGCCTCAGCTGCTCTTTCGCAGCACCTGGCACGCACAGGCTGACTGCATACGTCAGCTGGCGCCCCGACCTCAATCCAGGCTGGAGCTGGGGAGCACTTGGCGTGCCGCGCTCGTGACCTCGGCGCGAACGCTGGTAGGGCGGCCTCTGCGGTCGGCGCATCTTAAATCGGAGCCACGGACCATGCCAGCCAACGAAAAGAGGCAATCGCCAGAGGTCGAGGATAAACTTCACACAATTGTTCCTCTTCGTCTTCGCTCTCTTCTCCGATCCTCCTCTATACATATATTCCACTTCCTATTTTTACCTCACAGCTTTTGCTGATAGGTTTCTAGTGGGATCAAAAAAGAGCATCTTGACGCCCCAAGGGGGTCTGGGCGGGATCCGGACAAATCCGGCAGCCCCAGGAATCCTTAGGAATCCTTAAGAATTCTTAGGGATCCTTAGGAATCCATTCCCAGAACACCATTCCCAGGCCACATTTTGAATGCCCGGAGCCAACTGTAGGCCACTTCGTGTTCTTCGTCTTCCCATAACACCAGGCCACACATTGAATACCCGGAGCCAACTGTAGGCCACTTCGTGTTCTTCGTCTTCCCAGAACACCATTCCCAGGCCACATTTTGAATGCCCCGAGCCAACTGTAGGCCACTTCGTGTTCGTCGTCTTCCCAGAACACCATTCCCAGGCCACATTTTGAATGCCCGGAGCCAGCTGTAGGCCACTTCGTGTTCTTCGTCTTCCCAGAACACCATTCCCAGGCCACATTTTGAATGCCCGGAGCCAACTGTAAGCCACTTCGTGTTCTTCGTGTTCCCGGAACACAATTCTTGTACCAGATGTTGATTGCCCGGAGCCAACTGTGAGCCACTTCGTGATCTTCGTGTTCCCAGAACAGCAGTCCTGTGCCATATTTTGAATGCCCGAGATGAGGCAGGCTGAGGCCGAGGCAGACTGAGGCCGAGGCAGGCTGAGGCTGAAGCTGAGGCACGCCGAGGCAGGCTGAGGCTGAGGCTGAGGCAGGCTGAGGCTGAGGCAGGCTGAGGCTGAGGCTGAGGCTGAGGCAGGCTGAGGCCGAGGCAGGCTGAAGTTGAGGCTGAGGCAGGCTGAGGCTGATGCAAGCTGAGGCTGAGGCTGAGGCAGGCTGAGGCTGAGGCTGAGGCAGATGCAGGCTGAGGCTGAGGCAGGCTGAAGTTGAGGCTGAGGCAGGCTGAGGCTGATGCAAGCTGAGGCTGAGGCTGAGGCAGGCTGAGGCTGAGGCTGAGGCAGATGCAGGCTGAGGCCGAGGCAGGCTGAGGCTGAGGCTGAGGCTGAGGCAGGCTGAAGCTGAGGCTGAGGCAAGCCGACGCAGGCTGAGGCTGAGGCTGAAGCTGAGGCAGGCTGAGGCTGAGGCTGAGGCTGAGGCAGTGGCTGAGGCAAGGTGCGGCTGATGCAGGCTGAGGCTGAGGCTGATGCAGGCTCAGGCTGAGGCAGGCTGAGGCTGAGGCTGAGGCAGGCTGAGGCTGAGGCTGAGGCCGAGGCAAGCCGAGGCAGGCTGAGGCTGAGGCTGAGGCTGATGCTGAGGCAGGCTGAGGCTGAGACAGGCTGAGGCTGAGGCTGATGCAGGCTGAGGGTGAGAGGCTGAGGCTGAGGCTGAGGCAGGCTGAGGCTGAGGCTGAGGCCGACGCAGGCTGAGGCTGAGGCTGAGGCAAGCCGAGGCAGGCTAAGGCTGAGGCTGAAGCTGAGGCAGGCTGAGGCTGAGGCTGAGGCAAGCTGCGGCTGAGGCAGGCTGAGGCTGAGGCTGATGCAGGCTGAGGCAGAGGCTGAGGCAGGCTGAGGCTGAGGCTGAGGCTGATCCAGGCTGAGGCTGAGAGGCTGAGGCTGATCCAGGCAGGCTGAGGCAGAGGCTGAGGCAGGCTGAGGCTGAGGCTGAGGCTGACGCAAGCCGAGACAAGCTGAGGCTGAGGTTGAACCTGAGGCTGAAGCTGAGGCAGGCTGAGGCTAAGGCCGAGGCTGTGGCTGAGGCTGAGGCAAGCTGCGGCTGAGGCAGGCTGAGGCTGAGGCTGATGCAGGCTGAGGCTGAGGCAGGCTGAGGATGAGGCTGAGGCAGGCTGAGGCTGAGGCTGAGGCCGAGGCAGGCTGAGGCTGAGAGGCTGACGCTGAGGCTGAGGCAGGCTGAGGCTGAGGCCGAGGCAGGCTGAGGCTGAGGCTGAGGCAAGCCGAGGCAGGCTGAGGCTGAGGCTGAAGCTGAGGCAGGCTGAGGCTGAGGCTGAGGCTGAGGCTGAGGCTGAGGCAAGGTGCGGCTGTGGCAGGCTGAGGCTGAGGCTGATGCAGGCTGAGGCTGAGGCAGGCTGAGGCTGAGGCAGGCTGAGGCTGAGGCTGAGGCTGAGGGCGAGGCAAGCCGAGGCAGGCTGAGGCTGAGGCTGAGGCTGAAGCTGATGCTGAGGCAGGCTGAGGCGGAGACAGGCTGAGGCTCAGGCTGAGGCTGAGGCAGGCTGAGGCTGAGGCAGGGTGAGGCTGTGGCGAAGGCAGGCTCAGGAGGCTGAAGCAGGCTGAAGCTGAGGCAGGCTGAGACTGAGGCTGAGGCAGGCTGAGGCTGTGTCCGAGGCTGATGAGGCTGAGGCTCAGGATTCCTAAGGATTCCTAAGGATGCCTAAGGATGCTTTAGAAATCCCTAGGAATCCTTCGGATTCCATTGGATCCTAAGGCCGTTGCCACTGCGACTGTCATTGCGAATGCGACTGCGACTGCGAGAACAGCAGAATTCTACAACTGGATTCTCACCTGAATCTTAAGGGGAATGCTTCCAGATATGCTTATACACATCGCTGTTCGGTTGCTTTGCGGGGATGATTTTATAAGCCCGGGCGGGGGGGAAACCCGTCCCCCCCAAAAAAAAACGGACTCCCGGGATCTGGGGCTTTGGGACCTTCCGGACGGGCCTCAAAGCGGCCACCAGGCCTCACATGGCGTTTTGCCAAGCCTTCCCAGCACACCTAGGGCGATCAGGGGGGTCATCGGAGACGTCCCAGAGACCCCCACGACAGCACAAAAGCGCTCCAAGAGTGACCAACGTGACCTCAAGATGGCCCAAGAGGCCTCCAGGACGGCCCCAAAGAGACCTCCAAGAGCACTCCCAAGAAGGCCCCCCGAGGCAAACATCATTGATTTTCTGTAGGTTTTTTTGTGAATTTTAGGGTTCTCCTCGTTTCGGCTTCCCGACGCTCCAAGACGGCGGTCTTCTGGGCGTCCGCAGCCGCCTGGGCGGCTCCCAAATCGCCCCACAACCATCCGAAAGGGCTTCCAGGCAGTCCAAGAGAGCCCCAAAACGGCACAACACGGGTCCAAGATGGCCCTCAGAGAGCCCCATAGCGGCCCAAGATGGCCCAAAGACACCCTCCGAAGAATTCCAAATCGTGATTCGGTCGTTCAGGGAGACCGCGGTTGGAGGCAGGGTGGCCCGAGAAAGCCCCGGAGGACGGAAGATAAGGACGGAGGAGTTGGCTGCAGAGGATGAAGGAGGTTGCTTCTGGCTTCAGGCTTAGCGAGAGCCTGCCCAAGGAGCAGAGCCACGGGGAAACAGGAAGGGGGAGAAGAGAGGATCTGGATGAGAGGGTGCGGAAGCAGGTGAAGGATTGTTTAGGAAGAAGACATGGAAGAGGAGAAGGGAGGAGGAGGAGGATGACAGAGAGGAATGGAGAATAATGAGACGGAGGAGGGAGAAACAAGGGTGAGAGAAAGGAGAAGAGAGAGGATGAGAGAGGAGGGACGAGGACAACAAGGATGACGAGGACGAAGAAGGCTTCGAATGCAGGGGGGCACACTGCCCTGCAAGCCCCGCGGCCTCGGTCGCCGCCGCGAGCGCAGCCACGGCGTCCTGCGCGGCCGCCCCCGCTCTCACCTCCTGCTCCTCCTGCTGCGGGTGCTGCTCCTCTCACTCTCATCCACCTCCTTCCTCGTCGCTCATCTACCGTCCTCCTCCTGCTACTCATCCTGAGCCTCCCTTCTCGACCCTCCCCCCAGTCCCCCTCTGTCGCCCCCCTGTCGCCCCCCCTCCCCCTGCTCCTTCCCTCCTCCCTCTCCTCTCCTTCTCCTCCTCCTCCTCTCCTCCTCCTCCTCATGCTGCTGCTCCTCCTGCTCCTCCTCCTTCTCCTGCCCTCCTCCTCCTTCTCCTCTCCTCCTCCTCCTCCTTGATTCTCGCCTCAGTCACAGGGCGAAAGCTCGAAGCCTCCTCCCCCTCCTCCTCCTCCTCCTCCTCCTCCTCCTCCTCCTCCTGCTCCTGCGTCCTCCTGCGTCCTCCTGCGTCCTCTTGCGTCCTCCGCCCCCCTCCTCCCTCAGAGGCCTCCTTGATGAGGTCCGAGTAGATGGGGTCGGAGGATCGCGCCGCATCGCCGATGCATCGTCGATACATCGACGACGCATCGAAGATGCATCGGCGATGCATCGGCGTCGGCCCAGCTCGGGCATGTCCTCCTACAGGCGGATTTTGAGCGAAAAACGAAAACTAGACAACACATAATTTACCATAGCCAAGCCTAGTCAAAAAATCGTCCCCAGAGTAGTTCCTCGACAATTTGTGAATGCTCTTCCTGTAGAGGGACATGCCCGACTTAAGCCTAGATCGGGGGCGCGCAAACATTGATTCGCGATCCATGGATTTGGCGCGCGGTCGCCAAATCCATGGATCGGAGGAGGTGCCCTCCCAAAAACTCAACGCGGCCGGTGCCGCCTCGCCCGGCGGCGGAAAGCCGCGACTTCCCACGGAAGCGGGGCCCGTCGCTAATCCGCGCCCCCCTGATGCATGTTGGCGATCGCCCGATTCGAAGGAGCCCAAGGAGACGCAGATAGATCGGCGCAGTTCCCAGGAGGTCCCGCGCCCTTCCATATCGTTGCTCGCATCTCCCCCTTCCCTTCCGTTGCCCCGTGCGTCCCCGGGTGTTCATGGAAGCCGACGTTTGCTTGTGCTCGTGTCCAATTTTCCCTTCTGATCTGTCCGTGCCGACGACTGCGACGGACTAAATCCCTTCTCCTCCTCCTCCTCCTCCTCCTCCTCCTCCTGCTCCTCCTCCTCCTCCCTCTCCTCCTTCTGGCCCCTTCCCCCGGACTGAAACCCTCCTCCTCCTCCTCCTCCTCCTCCTCCTCCTTCCGGCCCCTTCCCCCGACGAGGAACCCGCGCCCCCCTCCCACCCGGGGGCGGGGTCCTCGCTCGAGGCGGCCGAGACTTGCCGCCCCTCCAGGGCCGCCAGCCTCGGGAGCGGCCGCGGGGGCCGGTCTGGGCTCAACGACCTCTGCCGTCCTTCCGGGCTCGCGCTGGCGCGGCCGCGAGCTGCCCTGACTTCCCCGGGAGATCTCTGGATCCACCTGGATTTATTGAGCAGGGACCGGCCGTCCCAGCATTCCTATAGTCCTGCGGCCACGAAGAATTCTTAGAACCTCAGCATGTTCCAAGAACAAAGCAATGATCTATAGAACGTAACCCTGATGTGATAAAACAAAACAGTCCCAACCACAAATGGGCTAAGAACATTTCGTTGGAACCACAAAAGGTCCCTAGAACATTCTTTGGCCAGACTATGGGCACGCCAGGACGCTTCGCCACTGCTTGAATTTACCCAGGCTTCTCTCGATGTGCCTGGACTTCCCTTGATCTACCTTTAAGTCGGGCGTGTCCCCCTACAGGGGGATTGTGGGCGAAAAATAAAAAACATTAAACAAATACACCCAAAATGCTCAGAAATAGTCAAAACATCGTCCCAGGCTATTCTCTAACTATTTTTGAATATTCCCCTGTAGAGGGACACGCCCGACTTAAATCTACCTCGATTTACCTGCCTTCACCTGGATTTGTCTGACTCTGTCCCCACAAGTCGCTCGGCGAAAGAGTCGACAAACTTTCGGGAGAGGGGGGGCGCCCAGGCGCCAACCGACCCCCCGCGGGGTGACCGCCTCTCTCGGCTGCGCGCAAAAGAGCGACCTCTGACAGGGGCTCTGGGCGATCTCGGAGACCCTGAGCCCAAACACGTTTTCAGCTCTTGGAGGCGCCTTTGTTCTTACGTCCACCGCCTTCCGCCAGCTTCCGCCGGCGGAGGCTGCCTTGTCTTACCTCCGCCGGCCATCCGCCGCCCTTCCGCCGAGGAAGAGATGGCAGCTCCATCGATCCTCGAAGGCAAGGCCCTTTTCGGAACGCTCCATGCCGCACTTATCCCATGCTTCGTCGGGTTTTCGACTGGATCCGACATTTGAGGCCCAACCCTGGGATATACAACCAGGAGGGCATGAATCCTCGATAGGGGATGCGTCCCAATAGCCTCCCTTGGGGTGTGTCTCAGGGTTTCCCTTCTTGTCTGCGCGGCTTCTGAGACAGTTCGGGAGTGGGGCCGCCAGGCCCGCGTCGTGAGAGCAGAACGGCCTCTCCAGGAGAGCACTCTGACCAGAATTTCGAGGAGAATCCACCCTCGGCGACGATAGCTCTCCAGGACGAGCAGCGGTATGGGTACCTTTTCCTCCCCTACGGAGTCCTGCCTCATTCCCGCCCGCCCGCCAGCCTGCCTGTGATGGACTCCAGGGGGTTAACAAAAGGTAACACAATGGAAAAGGGAGGCTCGAAGGTGAGAGCCGGACGGCCTCGGAGTTGGAGGGAAGGGGGGAGGGGGGCCCCGACCTTCCAGAGTGCTAAACATTAGCGCTCCAGACCTACAAACCTATCTGGACTGCCTCAAACCTCGACAGGGATTAGGACGTCGATGCCCTGGTGCTATTTTTTAGCCCTCCTGGAAGGTCGGGGAGCAGGGGGGGGCAAATCGGCCGCACGCAGCTGGCTTCTCCTGCGCAGCCCCCCCCCCGGCTCTCCAGGACCGACCGCTCGCCATCGCTCGGACGTCCATTCCCTGTGCTTTTTTTTTCGGTTTCGTGCGTGGCTTTTTCACCAAATGATCAAGGATGCTCGGGTCGGGCGAAAGGGGGGGATAGCAAAGGGGGGTTTGAGAATCAGCTCACGTAGCTGATTTTCCCGGCGCCTCCTGGCGCCGGGAGGCGCCCATGCATCGAGGAATGGGCCCGGCGGCGGGGCCGAAACCAGCTGCATGCAGCAGATTTCGTAACCCCCCCTTTCCCAATCCCCCCCTTTCGCCCGACCCGAGATGCTCCTCGATGGTCCTCGACGAAGGAGAAAAAATGCACACGTCCGAGCGATGCCGCGACCGCGGAGCGAGCAAGCTGCAGAGCTGCCCAGCGTCGGGGCCGCGGCGTGCTGCGCGCGGCGCAGCGCCCCCCCAACCGCCCCTTCCCCGCCGCTTCCCCCCCTGCTCCCCTTCCCCGCAGCTTGCTCGACCCGCGGTCTTGGCATCGCTCGGACGTGTGCATTTTTTCCTTCGTCGAGGACCATCGAGGAGCATCCTTGATCATTTGGTGAAAAAGCCACGCACGAAACCGAAAAAAAAAGCACAGGGAATGGACGTCCGAGCGATGGCGAGCGGGGGGGGCTGCGCAGGAGAAGCCAGCTGCGTGCGGCCGATTTGCCCCCCCCTGCTCCCCTGACCTTCCAGGAGGGCTAAAAAATAGCACCAGGGCATCGACGTCCTAATCCCTGTCGAGGTTTGAGGCAGTCCAGAGAGGTTTATATAGTCTGGAGTGCTACTTCTCAGCACTCTGGAAGGTCGGGCCCGCCCACCCCGGCTCTGCCGAGCAGATCGGAGCAGCTGGGGTCGGAGGCCCGCGCTGCATCCCCAGACACGCGGCCGCTCCAACTATTTTCGCCGCGTGGGCCCCGGAGCCCCGGACCACTTCCCCGGGGGCCGGTTGTCCGCCCCATGAGTCGTTCTCTGACGCTCGCGCGCGGGGCCCGGCGAGGGCCCCCGGAGGCCGAAGACCACGGCCAGAATCCAGCCGCTCCGACTTTGGTGGAGCGCCGGATCTCTGGGTACCCCAGATTTCGTAATAAAGGGAGGGGGGTCTCATTTCGGGGGGGGGGGTCTCATTTCGGGAGGGTCTCATTTCGGGGGGGGGGTCTGGGGACGATGTTTTGGAGGGTTCTCCCACGGGGGAGGTCTGAACTGGCTTGTCTTGGAGGGTCCAGACCCCCTCCCTTTTATTACGAAATCTGGAGTACCCATGCTTCGCCCCGAGCCGCTTTGTTGACGCTCCCGAGGCCCGGCGAGAGCCGAACACGACCGAGATCCCGCCGCTCCAGCTTGCTCGGAGCGTCGGATCTCTGGGTCGGCGCAGCATCGGGGACGCCGGGCTGGGACCGCCAGGCTCCGCCCCGCCCCGCCCCGCCGCCGCACCGGCGACGCATCTTGGCGGCGCGCAGGGAGGGGGGTATACCCCGACCTTCCAGAGTGCTAAAAAGTAGCACTCCAGGCCTCAAACCTCGACAGGAATTAGGACGTCGATGCCCTGGTGCTATTTTTTAGCCCCCCTGGAAGGTCAGGGTAGGGGAGTGGGAAGGCTTGTTTGAAGGGGGCTGCCTCTCTGAGGACGCGGGCATTGCACCTACAGACAGGGCGGCCCGCGCCTTCTGAGAGCGGGGGTGCTCCTAACCCTGACCTTCCAGAGAGCTATTTTTTGGCACTGGAGGCCTAAAAACATTATCCCAGTGCGACCCTACCTAGGAGTTGGAGCCCCTAGGAAAGCAGCATTAGTAGTAAGAGTAAAGCTAAGCTAAAGCTAAGCTAAAGCTAACCTACAGCTAAGCTAAAGCTAAGCTAAAGCTAAAGCTAAGCTAAATCTAAGCTAAAGCTAAGCTAAAGCTAAGCTAAAGCTAAGCTAAAGCTAAGCTAAAGCTAAACTAAAGCTAAGCTAAACAGACGCTAAAACTAAGCTAAAACTAAGCTAAAACTAAGCTAAAGCTAAACATAAAGCTAAAGCTACAACTATGCTGAAGCTAAGCAACAACTAAGCTAAAGCTAACGCTAAGCTAACGCTAAGCTGAAGCTAAGCTAAAGCTAAGCCAACGCTAAACTAAAGTTAAGCTAACACTAGCTAAAACTAAGCTAAAGCAAAGCTAAATCTAAGCTAAAGCTAAGCTAAAGCTAAACTAAATTTAAGCTAATGCTAAGCTAAATCTAAGCTATATCTAAGCTAACGCTAAGCTAAATCTAAGCTAAAGCTAAGCTAAAGCTGAGCTACAGCTGAGCTACAGCTAAGCTAAAGCTAAGCTAAAGCTAAGCTAAAGCTAAAGCTAAAGCTAAACCTAAAACTAAGCTGAAGCTAAACCAAAGCTAAGCTAAAGCTAAGCTAACGCTAAGCTAACGCTAAACTGAAGCTAAGCTAAAGCTAAGCCAACGCTAAACTAAAGCTAAGCTACAGCTAGCTAAAGCTAAGCTAAAGCTAAGATCAATCTAAGCTACAGCTAAGCTAAAGCTAAGCTAAATCTAAGCTAAATCTAAGCTAAAGCTAAGCTAAAGTTAAGCTAAAGCTAAGCTAAAGCTAAGCTAAAGTTGAGCTACAGCTGAGCTACAGCTAAGCTAAAGCTAAAGCTAAAGCTCCCAAGGGACTGGGGGAACCGCGGGGCGGGGACTGGGGGAACCGCCGGGGCGGTGTGCACTGCCCGGCCCCTTTAAGCTAAGAGAGTAAGAACCCTTCTAGGCAGAGCCTAGGTAGGGAATAAAAGACTGAGCGAAACAGCCTAAAACCAAGACGTAGAATAGCTCTAGGATAGGTTTTTAGGTCGGGTGCTACTTTCTAGCCCTCCTGGAAGGTCAGGGCCCTGCACCTCTCTGCGCGTGGCTGAGCATCGGCGCGATCCCCCGAGCCCCACGTCGCCCCGCACCGCCGACGCCCTCCTGGTGGGGGAGCAAGGCGGCACCCATATACAGCCACCTCCCCTGCAAACTCCTACAGGGCGCGCGCTGGCAAGCATGTCGAGAAAAATCCGGCCGTGACTACATGCAGGTCTCCTGGCCGGAGTCGGAGCAGATGGAGTCGGGAGGCTCGCGCCGCACCGGCGGTCCATCGGCGATGCATTGACGATGCATCGTCGACCTGGGCGCTGCATCGGCGACGTCGATGCGAATCACATCGGACTCCACATCGAGCCGCATCGGCGATGCATCGGCGATGCGGCGCGATCCTCCGACCCCCTCAAGGAGGCCTGAACTACCGGGGATTCTCCAGGACGCGCAGCGGCACGGGCATCTCTTCCTCCTCGAGGCCCTCCGTCCCCCCCCGCCCCCTCCCCCCTGGCGACCCCCCCCGGCGGAGGCGGCCCAGGGGACACACACAGACACAGACACAGACACAGAGACACAGAGACACAGAGACACAGAGACACAGACACACAGACACACAGACACAGACACAGACACACAGACACACAGACACAAAGACACACCGACACACAGACACACACGCACACACACACACACACATACACACACCGAGGCCTCGCCCGCAGCTCCGACAGCTCCGCCTCGCGCTCGTCCAGCGCCTCGCGCGTCTCCACCAGCTGTCGCTCCTTTGGAGGCCCGAAGTGGGTACGGAAAAGATGGGTATACTCAGAGATCCGACGCTCCTAACTGGAGCAGCGGGATTTTAGCCGTTTTCGGCATCCGGGGGCCCTCGCCGGGCCTCGGGAGCGTCAACAAGACGACTCAGGACGAAAAACGGGCCCCCGGGGAAGTGGTCCAAACCTCGGGGGCCCACGCATACCAAACATTGGAGCGGCCGGACGTCTGGGCACAATGCCTCCCAACCGCAACGTTGCCCAGAACCATCCGCGGCCGCTACTGGGCAGGAGGCCTTCTGCCTCAAGTGGACACCGTCCGCGGCGCCGCGGACGGCGAGCCCTGCTCAAAATGGGCAGGAACTGTTGCCGGTCTTTGTACCGTAAAGGCCCGACCACAAGAACCCCTTCCACAAGAAGCCCCAACCCTGAGACCCCAGGACGTCCATGGATTCTTGGTGTGGGGACGTTCCGCGCCCTCCGTCGCAAAACCGTCGAAGCCCAAGACACCCAGGGCACCCTGGAGGTGAGCAGGGTGTTTCTTGGCATGGGCCTCCACTGTACCCATCCTTGGGGAAACGAGAGGGTACAAACACCGCTACTCCCCGAACCTCTCCCGGGGTGCGTTCTGATCAGAACTTCGAGGCGAACCCGGCGGTGGCGACGAGGGCCTCCGAGGAGGCCCCAGAAAGGGACAACGACGACAGGGTATAGGTACGGGTACCTCTCCCGCCTCGGAATCTTTCCAGCTCTCCGTGCCCACTTCTGAAGGGGCCCTGGGACACACAAATAAATACACACCAATAAAAGGATTCCCCATGTTGTCCCAGATTTTCTGGGTTCTTGTCTTCCCCCCCACTGCCCATATTTTCCCACATGTTCTGGGGAATCGACGATTCATTGTGTCTGTGTGTTTTTGTCCCTCCTGAACTTCTCCCCTTAGTGACAACGGCCTGGGACCGAAACCGACGGCCTGGACCCGCAAGAATGTCGGCCGCGACGCCCTCTCGCGAACCGAAAACGGCCCATTCCTGCATCGAGGTGTCAGGGCAGGAGGTCTGTCCACCCCCGACTCTCCCGCCTCGGAATCTCTCCAGCTCTCCGTGCCCCTCCTGGGGAATCGACGATTCATTGTGTCTGTGTGCTTCTTTCCCTCCTGAACTTCGATCGCCCCGAGCTCCAGGCTCGGAATCTTTCCAGCGCTCTATGTGAGGAGGAGGAGGAGGAGGAGGAGGAGGAGGAGGAGGCGGAGGAGGCGGAGGAGGCGGCGGAGGAGGAGGAGGAGGAGGAGGAGGAGGAGGAGGAGGAGGAGGAGGAGGAGGAGGAGGAGGACGAGGGGGGAGGGGGAGAAGGAAGAGGAGGAGGAGGAGGAGGAGGAGGAGGAGGAGGAGGAGGAGGAGGAGGAGGAGGCGGAGGCGGAGGAGGGGGAGGAGGAGGAGGAGGTGGAGGAGGAGGAGGAGGAGGAGGAGAGGAGGAGGAGGAGGAGGTGGAGGAGGAGGGCGGCCGCCCCGAGAGCTCCAGGCTCTGGCGGCTGCTGCCCGCGGGCTCGGGGCCCTCCGGCGGCGCGGGGGGCGCCCGCCTCGCCGCCCGCCGCGGCGGGCGGCGGCGCGCCGCCCTCCGCGCCCGCCGCCTCGGGCGGCGGCGCGGGGCCGGCGGGCCCGGAGTCGCTCCACTTGCCTGCAGGGGCGGCGCCGACTGCTCTGCTCCCTCCTCCTGCTCCTGCTCCTGCTCTCCTCCTCTCTCCTCCTCCCCTTCCTCCTCCTCCTCCCCCTCCTCCTCCCCCGCATCGCACACATCTGAGCCTTCTGCTCACCAGCCTCGAGCGTATCCCTATCCCTAAGATGGACACGCCCAAAGGAGATGACAATCTGAGGGATGCGCCCTGAAAAAATAAGGGAATCCTTAAGATTGGCATCGTGATGAGGAGGTGCTCAGCATAGGGATAGGGATATGTTCCAGGCTGGTGACTACCTACCAGACCACCCCAACCCAACCCGAAGACCTGCATTTCGGGTGGGGGGGGGTACGGGTTCCATATGTGTTTTCTCGATGCTCCCCCCCCCCCACTGGAAGTGGAGGGCAAATTGAAGCCTTCGGGTTGGGTTGGGGTGGTTTGGTGGGTGGTGAGGGGCGGCGCCGACTGCGCTGGATCGCACATCTCTCTGCGGCAGCTCGCGGGGGCCTCCCGTGCCATCTTGTCGGTTCTCTCGCGAGTCGACGCTGGTCGATGCCAAGTCGCCGCTGCATCGGCGCCAGATCGGCGCCAGAAGGGCGCCATCTCATCGACTCCCAGACGCTGATGGACGCTAAGCGACGCTAGAAGCGGAATTGCGAGTGTATACGCGGCTCCCAGAATGTGCCACCGAATCATACACAACAATGTGAGCCAACGTGTGGACCCCAGGCAGTGGACGCACCGTGGAGGTGGGGGTTGTGCGGTGCCAGCTGTGCGGCGTGAGCCGGGTGGCGGAAGCTGTGCTGTGCGAGAGGTGTGCGGCGCACGCTCTGGTGCACGAGCTGTGCGATGCAGCTCGTGTGGTGTGAGCTGTGCGGTGCGCCCACGAGGCACCCACGAGCAGGCGCCGGCGCCCACGTTGCGAAAGCTTGGGTCCCCCCCCCGATGACGTGCGGAACTGGAGCGAGACCCCTCTGTGCAAGCACCTGTTGGGGTAATGGATGGTAATGGGCAAGACATCGGAGGCCAGGGCACCCATTCAGGTCGGGCGTGTCCTACTACAGACGGATTTGGGATGATCAATGGCGAAATAATTAGAAAATCCGCGGACCCTGTCGGCGTGTGTGGTGTTTGTCTGGTCCCGTCGACGGGGAGCCTTCTTTCGTCCCCTCCCGTCGGGGGAGAGAGATCCTTTAACGATTTTTACCTAACAGCGAAGACTGATAGGTTTCTAATAGGGTCAAAAGAGAGCGTCATGACTCCCCAGGGGGGTCTGGGCGGCATCCGGACAGGGATCCGCGGAAGTCGTTTTAACCAAACAATTACGCACTTCGTGGTCTTCGAGGTCCCAGAACTCCATTCCCGGGCCACATTCTGAATGCCCGGAGCCAACTGTAGGCCACTTCGTGGTCTTCGAGTTCCCAGAACTCCACTCCTGGGCCACATTTTGAATGCCCAGAGCCAACTGTAGGCCACTTCGTGATCTTCGAGTTCCCAGAACTCCATTCCCCGGCCACATTTTGAATGCCCGGAGCAAACTGTAGGCCACTTCGTGGTCTTCGACTTCCCAGAACTCCATTCCTGGGCCACATTTTGAATGCCCGGAGCAAACTGTAGGCCACTTCGTGATCTTCGAGTTCCCAGAACTCCATTCCCGGGCCACATTTTGAATGCTGAGGCAGGCTGATGCTGAGGCGGAGGCAGGCTGAGGCTGAGGCAGGCTGAGGCTGAGGCAGGCTGAGGTTGAGGCCGAGGCTGAAGGCAGACTGAGGCTAAGGCTGAAGCAGGCTGAGGCTGAGGCTGAGGCAGGCTAAAGCTGAGGCTGAGGCAGGCTGATGCTGAGGCAGGCTGAGGCTGAGGCTGAGGCTGATGCAGGCTGAGGCTGAGGCAGGCTGAGGCTGAAGCCGAGGCTGAAGGCAGGCTGAGGCTGAGGCTGAGGCTGAGGCAGGCTGAGGCTGAGGCTGGAGGCAGGCTGAGGCTGAGGCTGAGGCTGATGCAGGCTGAGGCTGAGGCAGGCTGAGGCTGAGGCCGAGGCTGAAGGCAGACTGAGGCTGAGGCTGAAGCAGGCTGAGGCTGAGGCTGAGGCAGGCTGAGGCTGAGGCAGGCTGAGGCTGAGGCTGAGGCTGAGGCTGAGGCTGAGGCTGAGGCTGAGGCTGAGGCAGGCTGAGGCTGAGGCAGGCTGGCTGAGGCCGAGGCTGAAGGCAGACTGAGGCTGAGGCTGAAGCAGGCTGAGGCTGAGGCTGAGGCAGGCTGAGGCTGAGGCTGAGGCAGGCTGATGCTGAGGCAGGCTGAGGCTGAGGCTGAGGCTGATGCAGGCTGAGGCTGAGGCAGGCTGAGGCTGAGGCCGAGGCTGAAGGCAGACTGAGGCTGAGGCTGAAGCAGGCTGAGGCTGAGGCTGAGGCAGGCTGAGGCTGAGGCTGAGGCTGCAGGCTGATGCTGAGGCAGGCTGAGGCTGAGGCTGAGGCAGGCTGAGGCTGAGGCTGAGGCCGAGGCAAGGCTGAGGCTGAGGCTGAGGCTGAGGCCGCAGGCTGAGGCTGAGGCTGGCTGAGGCTGAGGCTGAGGCTGAAGCAGGCTGAGGCTGAGGCTGAGGCTGAGGCTGGCTGAGGCTGAGGCATGCTGAGGCAGGCTGAGGCTGAGGCTGAGGCTGATGCAGGCTGATGCTGAGGCAGGCTGAGGCTGAGGCGAGGCCGACGGCAGACTGAGGCTGAGGCTGAAGCAGGCTGAGGCTGAGGCAGAGGCAGGCTGAGGCTGAGGCTGAGGCAGGCTGATGCTGAGGCAGGCTGATGCTGAGGCTGAGGCTGATGCAGGGTGAGGCTGAGGCAGGCTGAGGCTGAAGGCAGACTGATGCTGAGGCAGGCTGAGGCTGAGGCTGAGGCTGAGGCAGGCTGAGGCTGAGGCAGGCTGAGTCTGAGGCTAGGCAGGCTGAGGCTGAGGCTGTGACTGCGACTGCCGTTGCCACTGCGACTGTCATCGCGAATGCGACTACGACTGAGAGAACAGCAGAATTCTACAACTGGATCATCTGAATCTTAAGGGGAATGCTTCCAGATATGCTCCTACACAACGCTGTTAGGTTGCTTTGCCGGGATAATTGAATTTTCCCCCTGTAGAGGGACAGGGCCGACTTAAGAGTAATGTGCAAGACGTCGGAGGACAAGGCACACATATATGAAGGGGCCCTGGGACACACAAATAAGTCCGCCGGCCCCCTTGTGGTGCCACCAGGCTGTAGGACGAAGGTTTGCTGTTCCCTGCGCCAGTTCTAGTTTCTAGTTTCCACTGTTACAAGTCTGCTTCTTGCTGCTTACTGTTCCTTGTTGATGGAACGCGCGAGGGGGGGGGAGCCGAGAGAGATCCTAGTTACCACGCCCGAACCGGGTGCTCTAAGTTCCTGGATGGGGCGTGGGACACGTAAAAATACATTAGATTCGCGCCTCCGAGGCCGTATAACCTTGTAAATTACACCATATTCGCGTCCCCGAGGCCATAGACGCTTGTGAATTACACGATATTCGCTTCCCGGGAGCCATAAACCCTAGCGAAATACACCATGTTCGTGTCCCTGGAGCCAAGCCCTTTTAAATTACGCAATGCTTGCGTCCCCCGAGGTCACAAACGCTCGTAAATCATACAATGTTCGCGTCCCCGAAACCATAAACCCTCGTAAATCCCACCAGCCCTTTGGGCGTGAGTGGTTTAGCGAGCTCTCTCTGTTCTCAACCCCCCTTCTTCCCCTTCGGGGAGGGGTTTACCCCTCCCCCTACCCCCTCCCCCTGGGCCTGGAGAGGTCCTCCGCGGGTGGCCGGAGGGGTCTTTTTCGACTCCTGGGAGGGCTAAAATTCGACACCCCTCACGAAGATTCTGGCCCCGACGGGGGGAGGCAGAAAAATGCTCCCCTCTTCTTTGAAGCCAAAATCATTGATTTTACTACGGTTTTGGCCCCATTTTGGCCTTCTGAGGGGGCAGCGCTAATTAAAGCTCCCCTCTTCTTCGAAGCCAGAATCATTGATTTTACTACGGTTTTGGCCCCATTTTGGCCTTCTGAGGGGGCAGCGCTAATTAAAGCTCCCCTCTTCTTTGATCGATTTCCTCCAAGATGGCCCCAAGAAGCGCCCAGGAGGCACCAAGAGGCCCCAAGATGGCCCCAAGAGGCCCCCAGGAGGCCCCCAAGAGGATCCCAAACGGCCCAAAGAGGCCCCCCCCGAGGCACCCAAGACGCCGAAAAGCCCATCAGGACGACCCTCTACTCGCCTGGGCGTCGTTTCTGGACGGGCAGGAGGAGGGGCCCGAACGACTCACACCAGGACGAGGGGCCCGAACAACTCACACCACGAGAAGCCCGAACGACTCACACCAGGACGAAGAGCCCGAACGACTCACACCACGAAGAGCCCGAACGACTCACACCAGGAAGAAGGGCCCGAACGACTCACACCAGGACGAGAACCCCAAACGACTCAAACCACGAGGAGCGCTTTCTCTCCCTCCTCCTCCGCCTCGTCCTTCTCCCGCTCCCACCACAAGGAGGATGTACAAGGAGGCGGGAGGAAGGAGGAACAGGGGAGATATGCGGGGGCAGGCGGAAACACGCCTGAAAAACACGACTGTCGGCATGCTTCGCTAGAGTTGCTGTTTTGAGATGGGCTGGTGGGGATACGCGAAGCGTGAAGAATTATACCATATTCGTGTCTCCGAAGCCATACACCTACGTAAATGACGCAATCTTTGCGAGCCCGAAGCCATACACCCTCGTACATGACCCTATGATCGCGTGCCCGAAGCCATACACCCTCGTAAATTACTCCATATTCGCGTCTCCGAAGCCATACACCTGCGTAAATTACATTATATCTGCGAGCCCGAAGCCATGAACCATAGTCAATTACGCGCTATGCGCGTATCCGAAGCCGTAAACCGTCGAAATACGACACCGAATTCAACACTATCATCAGAATCTCAATTTGTCTTGCCGATTACTCATCGTCTTCGCGTGAAGTCTCGACGCTGCTTCACGGCGGCGCCAAGGCCTCACGATTTCGCTCTTGCATTGCCGGGGCAGATGGGGGCCGGCGGCAGGGGGCGAAGCCCTCACGGATAGACACAAATAACAGGATTCCCTATTTTTTCCCATATCTTCTGGGTTTTTGTCTTCCCCCCCACTTCCCATATTCTCCAATATTTTCTGGGGAGTCGACGATTCATTGTGTCTGTGTGTTTTTGTCCCTCCTGCATAAAAAAGCGCCGGCCCTGGCCCAGGGCCGCCCCGGGCCCAGGATCGGCGCCGGCGCGCCCTCCTGGCTTGGCCAGGGAATCGCACAGGGGATCGACTGCAGCATTGATCGGGGGGAGCGAAAGGGGAAAATGCAGGGCGGAGGTTTTTCGCCGTCTTCGGGCTCTGGAGGCCTTCGCCGGGTCTCGGGACCGTCAACAAACGGCTCAGGCTGAAAAACCAGGGCGGAGGTTTTTCGCCGTTTTCGGGCTCTGGAGGCCTTCGCCGGGCCGCGGGGCCGTCAAAAAACGGCTCAGGATGAAAAACCGGCCCCGGGGAAAGGGTCGGGACTTCCGGGGGCGCCGTCCTGAAAAAATCAGGACGTCGCAGGTCTGGGAAGGGGGGGGGGTAGCAAAGAGTAGAGCAGAGAATCGGCTCACGTGGCCGATTTTACCAGCGCGTCCCGGCGCCGGGAGGCGCCCATTTATATCGAGGAAATGGTGCCGGGGGCTGGGCCGAAGCCAGCTGCCTGCAGCAGCTTTCGTAACCCCCCCTTTCCCTATCTCCCCCGTTCGTTCGGCCCGAATTGATTTACCCCAGAGCTGATCTTACATCTTACCCGCAGAAGGTACGAGGCGCGCGTGAAATGCTCGTGGATCGACCGAACGCTCCGCGCAGTCCTCGCAGACACGAACCAACAAGCAAAGTCTGGGGCACATCGGTTCTACAGTCGATCCCCTGCTCGAAGGACGGCGCGCATATCTGCATGTATCTGTCGGCGGTGGACAAACCTCCCTTCAAACAACCTCTCTTTGGAAACGGCCTGGGAACGAAACCGACGGACCTGGACCCACAAAATGACGGCCGCGACGCCCTCTCGCGAACCGAAAACGGCCAATTCGCTGATCGACGTGCCGAGTAGGAGGTCTGTCCACCCCCGAATCTGCGTACACGTAAGTCGGGCCTGTCCCCGCCCCTACAGGGGGATTTTCGACGAAAAATAAAACATACCCCCAGAATAACCAAAACATAGTCCAAGAATAGCCTGGGGACTATTTTTTGACTACTTTTTGGTCTTTCTGGTGCATTTTTGGCGTATTTTTTTCTTCGCCGACCAAACCCCCTGTAGGGGGACACGCCCGACATAAGCGTACGCCAACCAGGCCAGGAATCGCCTGGCCTGGAGCCGTGCAGGCGGGCGGTTGGTGCCGCCCCGCTCGCCGGGGAAGAAGCTGCGGAGCAGCCCGCGCGTGGTGGCGTCCCCGGCGGCGTCGTTCGCCTCGGCGGAGGCATGCGGATCGGCGTTCCAGGATCCAGGCCCTCTGTTAGGAGGCAACGACGGGAGAGTTTTCGTCGGAAAGACTGCAGAGGATGAAGCCCCATTTGGGGGCCATTACGCCGGAGTGGGCCTCGGATTAAGCGGGATTAAGACGGATTAAGCGGGATTAAGCGGGATTGCGCGGGATTAAGCGGGATTTCGCGGGATTAAGCCGGATTTCGGACCAGGGCAAAATCAGAATTTGACCTCCCAGGAGTTGCATCCGAATCTCTGCCTCCTGGCGCCACCGGAGATCTCTGGAGGTCCCCGCGGGCGGCTGCGAGGGGCCCCCGTCAGCCGCAGGCGCTGTCTCGCTGGCCGCGGAACGCCCAGCCTCCCGAGGGGCACGACCTCGGGCAGAGCTTACGGAGGTCTCGCAGCGCCATCGGCCACGAGCCGCCGCAGCCAGCGCTTCGCTGGAACCTGGACCCCTCCCGGGCCGGAAGAGAAAATGGCGGCGTGGACGGCATGGCCCTCGTGGAGAGGCCTTGCCTGACTACCTACCAGACCACCCCAACCCAACCTGAAGACCCGAATTTCGGGCTGGGGGGGGGGGTAAGGGTTCCATATGTGTTTTCTCAATGTTCCCCGATCCCCCCCACTAGAAATGGATTGCAAATCGGGGCCTTCGGGTTGGGTTGGGGTGGGTTGGTGGGTGGTGATTGCCTCGCTTCTGCTCGTCGGGCCGCTGCAAAAATGCCCTGCTCGGGGCAACGCCGCCAGCTCGCGACGGCCGCGGTCCCCCTGCGCCGCGCCCTGCTCGCTGGCAGCCGGCGCCCCGCCTGCGCCCCGCCGCGGCCGCGCCCGTGTGCGGCAAGCTGGGGCTGGGCCCTCCCCGGGATGGCGCGACGACGGGCCAGGTGCTGCCCGAGGTCGGCCAGAGCCACCCACCGACGACGGGACGCCACCAATCGGCTACACGCAAGAGTGACCCTGGGTAAGAGTGACCTTTGGTGCGCGGCTTTTTGGGGGCCGCGGGGGACCAAACCTGGGCGCGCAAGTTGCTGCTCCTGCTTCGTTTTCTTCAGACATGCGGGGGCCCATCTGTGCCCGCACCAAAGGTCACTCCGGCGAAAGGTCACTCTTACGTCTAGTCGAACCAAAAAGGGCAAGGTCCTCCCGGGACGGTCCCCAGACCCTCTGCACAGCACCAGCATGGTTCCAGAACTCCTCTTGTGGAGCTCCCCGAACCTGCATCACCTAGCATCGCGCTTCGCGCCGCGCGAAACGCAGCCATCTCCGCGCTCTCGCGCGGCGGCCACCCGGGAAGCGGGCAGCTATCTGGCTCAGACCACGAATGCAGAGCGAAGTGCGGTCACCTTGGCGCCACTGCGGGTGACCTGCAGAAGCATCGTGCTCAAAAAGGCCCAGAACAGTGCGCGCCCAAGGGGGAGGAGGAGGAAGAGGAGGAGGAGGAGGAGGAAGAGGAGGAGGGGGAGGAGGAAACGGAGGAAGGAACCCATCCTCCTCTCTCAACCTCCTTCCCCCCGCCACCCACCTCCTCTTCTCCAAGCCCACCACTCCCCAGACCTCTCCCTGGGTGCGTCCTGACCACGATGCCGAGGCGAATCATGCCATGGCTTTCAGCCCCCCCATGAAACCCGAAAAAGTAAACGCGAGTGGACGGCATCGGCGGGAGCCGCCGCGGTCGTCGGCGGCGGCAGGAGGATGCCGAGTTCTGCCCCCCGGCCCTCCAGGATCGAGGAGGGAGGAGGAAGAGGAGGACCAAGCGTTACATGAGGTGCTCCTGTGTCTGTGGGCTCCGACTGGGTGGCATTGGGACCCTTTTCTGAAGAGGCCGTGGCCCGATTGCAACTCACGCCACCAGTCGAGCCAAAAAGCCGACTATCGTGACCCTTCACCGGGGACGAGAAACATACATTGCAAGGATAAGCAGCGTCTCTCCCAGAGGGAAGAAGATGAGGAGGCGGAGGAGGAGGATGAGGGGGGGCACGAGGAGGAGGAGGTGGAGGAGAAGGGAGAGGAGGAGGCGGAGGGGCAGGAGGAGAAATATGAGGAGGAGGCGGAGGAGGGGCAGGAGGAGGAGGCGGAGGAGGAGGAGGAAAGGAGAGGGGAGGAGGATGAGGAGGAGGAGCAGGAGGAGGAACAGGAGAACAAGGAAAAAGAGGAGGAGGAGGAGGAGGAGCAGTGAGCAATGAGCAATGCGCGGGGAGTTCAAATGAGTTGCTCGACTCACACCATGAAACCTGGCAGAGAACTCTGCGCAACCCGACTTAGTGGAATGCAGGTTATCACTTGAAAGAGACGGGGCAGCCCACACTGGCTGGACCAGCACTGCCCCCGACTGGTAGCGAACCCCCATGACGCCACGCAGGCGTACTGGGAGGGGCCACCTAAGGGACCGACGGTTGGCTGGATCCTCGGCCTTTGCTACTGCCTTTCCCCCTTCGCGGGGCCCGCTTGGGCGCTACCACAAGGGGGATCATGGGGCGATCAGCCTGCTGATGCGCGGCAAAACCTGGGGTCCGAAAAGGATCTGACATCACTCCCCTGGCCACTAAGCTTGCCAAACGAACACTACCTGAAAAAGCGCCCCTGTTGGGCTGTGAGGATCTCCTCGCATCCCCCTCCATCCTTCCACGGCTCCTATTCCTACTCCTATCCTCCTCCCTCACGGGCCTCACAGGCTTCACTGGTCCACCCGAACCCAGGACCTCATTCATTTCTTCTCGATAAGATTCAGGATCCTCGCAGCTTCTCGCTCGAGAGGTCCTTTCGGGGCTGGGCCGATCAACTGCTCCGCCCTCTGCTGGTCCTCCGCGAAGTTGAGCCGCCAGAGGGCCAGCTCCCTCGCCAGCATGCCAGGCTCGTTGTAGCTGAAGGCGAAGGTCATCCCGCCCTTTCTTCGCATGCTGCTGCTGGCTCGAGGAGCCACTCGTCTCGGTCTTCATCCCCTTGTGGTTCCGAGGCCGAAAGTGCAGCACGTGATTGCCCACGGTATGCGGGGCGGCGCTCTGGATGCACTTCGCGACGTACCCGTTGAACTTCTTGGTCTCCGCCTCGACGTGCTCCTCTTTGCCACCCTGGGTGAACTTCTTCACGTTGGTGACGAGGTTGAGGCAGGCCGCGGCCCACAGCTGCGCGCGCGGGGGCCCGCGAGCGCGAAAGTCTACCTTTTCGCCTGCCCGCTGACGTTCTTTCATCTGCCTGGACATCTCGTCGCACTTGAGCCCTGAGTCGATCATGAGCTGAGTGGCCCCGCCGCCTGACTCGAGGAGCTCCCGCGCCTGGTAGACTGCGCCCGCTAAGTTGGCGAGCTCCCGCGCCGAGGCGAGGCGCAGCTTGGTGAGGAAGAGCACCAGGGCCTTGGTGAGATCCTTCTCGTTCTGGTCGCCCTTGGCCCCGCACTTGGCGTGCTTCGACGGCTTTTCCTCCGAGCCTGGGCCCGCGTCCGCCCCCCTCTTCGTCCCCGACATGGCCTGCGTCCACGCGGGCGGCGCGAGCTCCGCCATGGGCCCCCGAGTGCTCCCGAATCTGGCGGGTCCGCGGGAGAACAGGGCCAGGCAAATGGCTGCGTAGATGTTGGCATAGTGCGTCTAAGTCTGAAGCTTCTACATCACGCTGGGGACACGACAATGACGATGGAGGCTCAAGAGGGCGAAACGTTCTACCCCCACCGAATCGACAGTGCCCCCGTCGCACAGCAAGCACAATATACCGAGCAGCACATGCCCTGCCCCAGAAAATCTCACTGCAGCAGATACATGTGTTACTGGGGGTGAGCACGTGGCACAGGGAGCGCAGCGAGTGGCGGGACCTCATGTGCGCCATCAGGCCCTTACGCGTGGTGAACTCCTCTTCACACCCCTCGAACTGGCAACGATAATGCGTTTCGAGTACGGGAAATGCTTGTGTCTCACGATCACGACCACCCCCATTGTCCACCTCCACTTTCAGACCAGGGGGGGCGATAGTATCACAGTGAAATCGATGTTCGAAAGCTCGCGGCGCACCTAGGGGTCCCACATGAGGCCAGGACGATCTGCAAGAGCCCCCAGTGCATCCCCCGAATCACGTATGAGCCCCTGTGCCCAGTAGAAGTCCTCAGAGACCCTGCGGGCCCGGGGGGGGGGGGGGGGCCTTGGGGGTCAGGTGTCCGTCGACGAGAGGCGCCTCCCCCAACTCGAAACGCACTTCCCCGAAAACGGCCGCGAACAGCTGGATGTGACTCGCGGGGTGGGCAGCCCAAGACTTATGCCAGTTAAGTCGACGAATGCGAAGCTCCACCGAGGTCTCACAAATACGCCAGTGTTTTCGCACGGCCTGGTTGGACATCGTCCTGACTGCGCCAGCTGAAGTAGTCCATCGTGCACGGCCCCGCATGCGCACACGGGCAAAATGAGCGATAGTGGCATCCAGGCGGGCGCCCTGCTGCTTCGCGAGCAAGAACGCCTCCATTCCACCTAGAGCCGAATACTGCACAAGGGATAAGAAGATCGCCCGAGTAAATTTCCAAGGGAGGGACAGCGCCCAGAAACCGCCCAGGGAGTAGAAGGCCGAACGTGCAGCCTGATGTCGTCTGATCACCTCCTGACTCGAAGCCTGAGACATAGAAACGTAGGGCCCAGGCACCGAACCTCCTTCAGAGCCCCAGGGATGAGAGCCCGTCCAGGCCCACGAAGCCAGCGACGACAAGCCATGGCCCCCTCCCCTTCAAGCCAGACCGCCAGCTCTTGTTTCCCCCGATTCTGTTGGTACCCACATTCCTGGAGGTGAGAGTCTAGCAAATCGCCTGCCTCGCGCAACTTGGCAAGGAAGGAGCCCATGAGGTCGCCCTGAGAGATCAGGGTTTAGCGATAAAGGTCGTCCGCGTACTTAAATAGGCTGAGATCAACTTCCTGACCTTGCCAACCAGTATGTAAAAGGTGCAGAGATGGGTCAGCGGCGCAGAGCGATTTCGTCCATGGCTGCACTGGACGCTGAAACGTAGTCGAGAACGCTGCCACCATGACAGGATCACCCATCACTCCCCCCACCCTGGTTCTGACCGCCACATCCCCCTCATCACTGGGTCGTAAAACTACAGCATCACGATGGCGTTTCTTACGCAGCAATAAATTCTCATCAGAAACATGCAAGGCCATGCTCGTATCCATGGCCGTCCAGGAGGTGCTACCAAAAGCGTTGCTCATATCCTTAAGGCTAGCCCCAAAGCTCCACCCCGCTTGTCGTAATCTCCACCCAACCACTTGAGACGCCAAGACAGCCCCTTCCCTACGACGATGCCTCTGGAACCCATAGTCCTCGGGGGGGAGCTCATTGGGGAGGAGATCGGCGAAGAAGGCTTTGCCCACGACGGGTAGGACGTGGACCGTGCGTTTGCCACGAGGCCCAGGTTGGGCCGACTTGTGCAGAACGCATCCCCGACTCGTGCTCCAGTAAAGAGGGGCCATGTCTGTGACTCGCACTTTCATGAGAGCATCAAGTAGCACCTCAAAAAAGAAAATCGGTTCCACCGGTGCACGCTGAGCGCCGAGGCCAGCGCGTAGACCCTCCAGGCCCACATCGGGGTGCAACATCTGCCACCAGAGCTCCAGCGGGGCGGCGCCATCTGGGACGACCCGTCTCTTGGAAGCTTCGCGCACATACTTTCGGAAGCGTTTGATGTCCTCCAAAGCCAGTTCCCTGAAACGAGGATCGTAACGGGCAATATCGTAAATCTGGGCTAAGTCAAGATCGCCTCTGGTTTCGCCACAGCTCCAAGTCGGTAGGGATGACTTTCGTACCCCCCTCCCCTCCAGGTAACTGCCAAACATCCAACCACTCCTGACGAGAGATCGGGGTAGCTCCAAAGCGTCTACCATCACGTGTTTTTTTTTTTTTTTTTTTTTTTTTTTTTTTATATATAAAAAAAAAAAAAAAAAAACACTACAACGAACCGCTCTCCTCGCCCACCCCATCGCCTCCGAGATATCTATTATAGCCCATGCCTCGCTGGAAGCCTGGACAAAGGAAGCCCTCTCCGCCCTCATGTGACGTTGTCTAAGTAGACGCATCCTCTGCGAAACCTCGCGGAGCTCCTCTTCTACAGCTGGCAAGTCCGCGGCTTGCATGCGAGAAGCGCGCAACCCAATGCGCTTCTTCAGTAGCTCACGGGGCAATGCGGCCCAATGAGAGTAATCGTGCGGCATGTCCGTATCTTCACAAAATAGTTCCGATCCCCACCTCCACCAATCCCTGTTCTAGAAGCTCAAAAAACAGTGATCTGGAGCATCCTGATCATGAACCCGTATCCTATCCTCCTCCCGTTCCCGTATCCACTGCTCCACTCCTTCCACAAAGGCGATGCGCTGAGATCCAGAACGGACGGCAAGCATAAGAGAAGATGTATTCCAGCGAGCCCGCTGGACAGGGATACATTCTTGGGGTCCTTTGGGCTGATGCAGCTCCAAGTAGAGGGGGACATGATCTCGGGGGGGGCGTCCACTCTGGGCTTGTAACTGCGCGCCAATCCTTCGTAAAGTATGGCATCGAGCCAGGCGAGTGCCCCACCCCTGCGGGATAAACAGGAAGTCAATCAAGCTCGAGGGCCCTTCGGGTCCATCACCGTAAAAAGTTGGATCAAGAGGGCCCAGGGTATTCGCCGCAAGCATATGGTGCTGCTCCAGCAGATGTGCCACCGACTCTCCTGCTCCCTGCCTCCGCCTCTCCCTCGTGCGTGTCTGACCCGAACCCAGGGGCTGGAGGAGGAGGAGGAGGAGGAGGAGGAGGGGGAGGAGGAGGAGGAGGAGGAGGAGGAGGAGGAGGGGCAGGAGGACGAGGAGGAGGAGGAGGAGGAGGATGAGGAGGAACAGGAGGAGGAGGATAATAAAAAGGAGAAGGGGCAGGAGAAGGAGTACGAGGCCGAGGAGGAGGAAAAGGAGGGGCAGGAAGAGGAGGAGGCGAAGGAGGAAGAGGAGGAGGAGGAGGAAGAGGAGGAGGAGGATCACGAGGACGTCCAGGGCACCCTTGCAAGGCCACTCGCCCTTCCTGTGAGCCTCGACCCCGGGAGGGGGGGTGCGGCCCGCCCGGGCGCCTCGGCGGGGGCGTCCGCCGCCCTCTCGGACGCGGAGGTCGAGGAGGTCCGCGGCAGGTCCGAGGCCTCGCCAGGGCGGGGCTCCCTCTCGAGCAGGGGCCGGCCGTCCTGGCATTCCCACAGGCCTGCCGCGGAATGCTCTCAGAGAATCCCCCAGCGTGTTCTTGGCACAGAAACAATGCTCTCGGACCAGAAGCCCGGTGCGCGGAAGCTGGACACGGCCCCAGCCGGACATGTTCGAAAAGCATGTCGCAGCAGCCACAACAAGGTTCTCGGAACAGTGTTTGGTGGGCCTCTGGGCACGCCAGGACGCTTCGCCACTGCTTGACCCTCTCGCCCCAGGAGGCGAAGGAGGACAGCGCAACCCACCCCCACCAGAGATGAAGTCAGGACGAGGATAAATTCGGGTGAGAATGCAGTAGGAGCTCGACCACGAACTTCCACAAGAAACCCACCCCTGCGACCCCTGGACGCCCATTGATTCTTGCTTCGGAAACGTCACGCTTTCCATAGCAACACCATCGAAACCCAAGAAACCTGGGGCACTCTGGAGGCAAGCAAGGTGACTCTTGGCATGTCCCCCCACTGCAAGTCGAGAATCCCTGAGATCAAGGCCTGTCTCGGGCGCCGCGGCCTTCTCAGAGCGTTCGACTCCCCCATGAACGCCTGCGCCAGAGGCTTCTGACGCCCCTCCGCAGAGAACTGGCCCTGACCTCCCGCCCCGCTGCCGGCCCGAGCCGGCCACGCATGCCGCCTTGTCTCGGCTCGCTGCCGCCCGCTGCCGCCGCGCTGCCGCTCAAGAAGACCCCTCTCCCAGAGGCCTCCCAGATGGGGTCGGAGGATCGCGCCGCATCGCTGATGCATCGCCGATGCACCGGCGGTGCATCGGTGATGCTCAAGCGATGCCGGTGGTGACCCGGAGCATCGGCGCCGTCGGCGTGGAGACAATCGGGCCCCACATCGCGCCGCATCGCCGATGCATCGGCGATGCGGCGCGATCCTCCGACCCCATCTGGAGGCCTAGATCTCCTGGTTCGCTCCACGCCGACCCTGCCTGGATTCAGGTCGGGCGTGTCCTCCTATAGGCGGAGCTTGGACGAGAAAGAAAACATGTTCAAACACACACTCAAACATAGCCAGCAAAAAGATCGCCCCGAGACTATTCGTGGTGTTTTTCTGACTGTTTTGAGTATTCCTCCTGTAGAGGGACGGGCCCGACTTAACCCCCAGATGCAGGCCCTTCCGGAGCGCTCCCTCCACCCCCGACCTTCCAGAGTGCTAAAAAGTAGCACTCCAGACCTATAAACCTATCTGGCCTGCCTCAAACCTCGACAGGAATTAGGACGTCGATGCCCTGGTGCTACTTTCTAGCCCCCCTGGAAGGTCAGGGACGTCGACCCTCCCCTGAGAAGAGGCCGGACCTCCCTTTCCCACGCCGGCCCTCCCCCACGACGCCGGCCCCTCTCCTCCAGGGGCCCCCACGTCCTGGAAGATAGCTGGAACAGATCTCGCAACTGAAAGGAAACCTGTCATTTCTCAAATACTCGCCATCGCTCGGACGTCCATTCCCTGTGTTTTTTTCGGTTTCGTGCGTGTTTTTTGTTCGGCAAATGGTCAAGGATGCTCCTCGATGGTCCTCGCCGAAGAAAAAACGCACACGTCCGAGCGATGCCAGGAATATACATTATTCTTCAGGTCGATTCCTGGAAGTGAAAACGGCCGAAGAGGGCCCCAAGACGGCCCAAGACGCATCCAAGACGGCGCAGGCAGCCCCTCGCCCCCCAGACGGCTGCAGGAGAGTGCCCAGACGGGGGACCCGAAGAAGCCCCAGTAGGCCCCCAAGAGGCTCCGAAGAAGCCCCAAGAGGCCCCAAGAAGCTCCCAAGGGGCCCCCAAACTGCCCCAAGACAGCCCAGGAGAGCCCCTAATTGCCCAGGAGGCCTCCAAGAGTGCCTCGAGACGGCGCAAGAGGAGCCCAGGACGGCTCAAGACGGCCTCAAGAGAGCCCCAGGCTGTCCCAAGAAAGCCTCTGGCCTCCTCCTCTTCCTCCTCCTCCTCCTCCTCCTCCTCCTCCTCCTCCTCCTCCTCCTCCTCCTCCTCCTCCTCCTCCTCCTCCTCCTCCCCCCCCTCTGCTCCCCCTCCTCCTGCTCTCCTCTGCCTCCTTCTCCTCCTCTTGCTTCTCCTCCACATCCTTCTCCCCCCTCCTCCTCCCTCATCCACCTCCTCCACCCTTCCTCCACCTCCCACTCATCCTCCTCCCCCTGACCCCCCCCCCGTTTTCATCTTCGTCGTTCTCAGGGTCGGCAGCACCAAGGGATCATAACCTTTCGCATATATTATTCTTCAGATTCGGTTTCCTGGAAGTGAAATCGACAGAGACCAAAACCAACGATACCACGCCGCAGCCCTGAGACTCTCACTATAGCTCAACGCGTCACTTGTGTAGTCCAAGAGGGGGGGCGTCGAAGAGGTGGGCGCGAAAGTCATGGCCGGGGCCTTTACTAACCTATTGAAACAGGCAGAGGCGAGTGCGCCGTGCAAAGCTGCGGAGATCTCGCGCCCTTGCCTCGTCCCTGACCTCTCCCACCACCCCCCTAGTCACCCCCCCCTCGTTTCGGGCGTCCGCAACTAGGATTAGCGATCCAGAGAGTAGGCGCGCGGTCGCCAATCCATGGATCGGGGGAGGTGCCCTCCCAAAATGCGGCTGGTGCCGCCCCGTTCGGCGGCGGGAATCCGCGATTTCCTCTGGGAACGGGACCCGTCGCTAATCCACGGCCCCTTAATCCATGTTTGCGATCGCCTGATCTCTGCCCCCCTCCCCCCCCGACGCCCCTCCACGCCGATTCTCAGAACTTTGGAGTCCGAAAACAGTGGCGTGACAGACCGTGCGTGACCTCGAAATCCCCAAGACCGTACGCAACGGTCCGTCCCGCACGGTCTCGGGACCTCGGAGGCCCCCGTCGTCCCGAGGCGTCATCGTAGAACGGACCTGAGGCCCAAGACCGTGGGGTGACCCGACTCCCCACCAACTCAGAAAAAACACCAAAAAAACCGCAACGGTGTGGTCACCACTCCTTGGGGCCCCCGGAAAAACACTTGAGCCTGAGATCAGAGGCCGATCCCCCGGGGAGGAGGACGAGAGGACAACGAGGAGGAGTAGGCAACGAGGCAAGGAGAGGAGGATAACGAGGAGGAGGAGGAGAGGATTGAGGAGGAGGAGGAGGAGGGAGGAGAGGAGGAGGAGGAGGGAGGAGGAGGAAGAGGAGGAGGAGGAGGAGGAGGAGAAAGAGACAACGAGGAGGAGGAGGAGACGAGGAGGGGACAACGAGGAGGAGAGGACAACGAGGAGGAGTAGGATGAGGAGGATCCAGAGAGCAGCCTGCCCAGCCCGAGGGCACTCCGGCAAAAACACTCCGGCCGGGCATGTTCGTTCTCTTCCGTGGGGGGGGGGGGGGGGCGTGGCGCCGTGGCCACGGGGAGCGCCCGCCCCCCGCCGCCGAGGGGGGGGGCGCGGGGTCCCCCGGGAACCAGAGGTCGTCGTGCTGTGGAGGTGTAAGCTACGTTCAGGTCGGGCCTGTGCCCCTGCAGGGGGATCTTGGACGACAAATTAAAAGATGCCAGAAACAATACTCCAAAAATGCTCGGTGTTAGTCAACAATGGTCCGCAGACTATTTTTCATGATTTTTGTCAACATTCCTCCTGTAGAGGGACAGGACAGGCCCGACTTACAGCTACGTGGTGCCAGCTCTGGATGGCGAGCTCTGAGGTGGAGTGCCCATGGTGTGAGGTGTGCTGTGCAGGCCACGTGGTACACGATGCGTGCGTACGCAGTGTAGGACATGGCCGCCTCGCTGCAGCTTCGAGCTCGCACCGCGCACATACAGCACCACACATACCGCACGATGCATACAGTCGGGGCGTTGACCTAAGGAACCCTACATCAGGAACGAGGTCCCTTTTTTCCATAAGGTAAACTTCGATTTACCATTGAACACCTAAGGAACACCCAAGGCGCACTGTAAAACGATCAAGGAACACCGAGCCCCTCCCCAACGAACAGGGTTCCTTCTTCAGCGCCCCGACTGTAGCTCACGCGCCCATGGTTGCCTCCTGTTCGTGGGCCCACGCTGGCCAACGCTCACACCCTTTCGCGAAGCGAGGAGGCCTGCGGACGTCAAGAGCACCTTGCGAGGGCGTCCCAAAGGGGGGGGGTCCAAGGGGGGGGGCGCAAACCATGGCCAGCGGCATGTGCGCGAGACCACAACGGGGGCCGTGGACGTATTGAAATCCTCCGACCCTGTCGGCGTGTGGAAGGCTGTTCCATTGAACTCGTCGTCGTCGTCGTCGTCGTCGTTTTCGTCGTGGTCGTCGTCGTGGTCGTGGTCGCCGTCGCCGTCGCCGCTCCCTTCTCCTTTCTCTAGGCCCGTTGCAGTTGAGTCGGAGGGATGCCCCCCTTCCCTTTGATCCCTTCCCCTTCGCCGCCCAGATACGATCCCCCCTGGGCGGTTCGGGGGCACGGGACAGCCCCAGGGACGCAAAGGTGCCCCAAGATGTCCCCAAGACGGTGCTCGAGGGCCCCGAATCGCCGAAACATCGGTCCAAGTCGGCAAAATGGCCTCCAGACGGCCCACGAGGTCCAAATCGCTCCAAGAGACCCTCAAGAGGACTCCCAAGGAGGGCCCCAAGGTGCCAAACATCATCGAGCTCCCCTAAGTTTTTTTGAAAGGTTTCGGCACTCCCGCCTTGTCAGCTTCCCGACGTTCCAAGGCAGGCCGAGAAGCCCCCAGAGACCGCCCCACGATGGCCCAAGAGGCCTCCAAGAGGCCTCCAAGACGGCCGAGGAGGCCCCCAAGGCGGCCCCAAGAGGGAGCCCAGACGACGGACCCGAACGGTCATTTCGAGCCCTCGGCCTGATAAGCCCCCCAGGGGCACCTAAGAAGCCCCCCGAGAGGCCCCGAGAGGCCCCCGAGAGACCCCCAGGAAGCCCCTAGAGGCCCCCACGAGGCTCCCAAGCGGCCTCCCGAGAGGCACCCAAACTAACCCCAAGGGGCACCCGAGAGCGCTCGTCGTCGTCGTCGTCGTCGTCGTCGTCGTCGCCGCCGCCGCCGCCGCCGCCGCCGCCGCCGCCGCCGCCGCCGCCGCCGCCGCCGCCGCCGCCGCCGTCGTCGTCGTCGTCGTCGTCGTCGTCGTCGTCGTCGTCGTCGTCGTCGTCGTCGTCGTCGTCGTCGTCGTCGTGGTCGTGGTCGTCGTGGTCGTCGTCGTCGTCGTGGTCGTCGTCGTCGTCGTCGTCGTCGTCGCCACTCAGGGTCGGCGGCACTGGCCGTGAGGCCTTCGCAACAAGAAGAGGCGCCACGAAGTCTGGGGAGTTCGCATGGCCCCCGCCATGATCTCCACGTCCCCATCCTGGCCGCTCCCGAACCTTGACACTTACCGGCTACACGCAAGAGTGACCCTGGGTAAGAGTGACCTTTGGTGCGCGGCTTTTTGGGGGCCGCGGGGGGCCAAAGATGGGCGCGCAACCAGCTGCTACTGCTTCGTTTTCAGCCATCTGGGGACTCATCTGTGCCCGCACCAAAGGTCACTCCAGCGAAAGGTCACTCTTACGCCTAGTCGAACTTACGAGGCTCCGTCGGCGCGAGCCCGGGCCTCCTCGGGGGCCGCCTGCGTGGCCGCCGCGTCCCAGGCGGGGTCGCCGTCCTCGGCGAGGCGAGGCGCTCTCCGGCGGAGACCGTGGCGGCGCCGCTGGCGGCGCGGCGGCGGCGGCGATGGCGACGGCGACGACTGCGACGACGGGCAGTGGCGGAGACAGCGACGAGTCCGACGGCGTCGGCGCCACTGGCGGCGGCGGCGCAGACGACGACGATGGCATCGGCGGCGGGAGGCGGCGGCGGCGACGACGCCGGCGGCGGCGGCGGCGACGAGGGCGGCCGCGGCGCCCTGCGTGGTCGCGCCAAGCCCAGGCGGGTTCCCTCCTCCTCATCTCCGCTTTCCTCCTCCTCCTGTTTGTTCTTCCTCTTCCTCTTTCTCTTCCTCTTCCTCTTCCCCTTCCTCCACATCCTCCTCCTGCTCCTCCTCCTCCTCCTCCTCCATTCCTCTTCCTTGTAAATAACCTTTCCCTGTCCACCCGAGGCCAGTTTTTAAGGCGTGCCGGGCGTTTCGTCTGAGACTTCCTCACAATTTATGACCCTGAGGCTTAAAACTGTCAAAACTTTCACAGATGGAGGGCGGGTGGTTTTTTGAATGTGGTTCTCACGTTAGCGCCGCGCACATTCGTTGTAAAATGTGCAAGAGTTTCACGGATTGAGGGCTGTTCCTTTTCAAAATGTGGCTGTCGCCTTAGCGCCGCGCACATTCGTTCTAGAAGTTTCCAAGAGTTTCACGGATTGAAGGCGGTTCCCTTCCAAAATGTGTCTCTCGCCGTAGCGACGCGAATCTTTGCAAGAGTTTGGCGGATTCCCATGCTCAGCGTACCAAGAATTGCGTTTTGGAAGGAAGTTTAGAATATGATGGTGCGTACCAGAATCTGCGTTTTGGAAGGATTCTCGATTCTGATGGATTATACGGTGTTGACATCCCCCAAATGGTGTTTTGGCACCGTTCGAGATCGTCAAGACGCAACAGATAGGTTGATCCGCGGCATTGGAATCCCGAGAACAATGTTCTGGCATGCTTCAGGGTCTTCAAACGGTTTCCCAACGAGGCAATGCCCTCAATGGAAAGGAGCCGTTGTAGAGGCCCATGAAGAGGGAGCTTGGAGGGAGGGTTTATGCCAACATCGCTTATGACTCTTGGGTTTCCACTGGTGTTCCTCCTCCTCCATTACTTTTCCGTATAAATAACTTCCCCCTGTCGAACCAGGGCCAAATATTAGGCCCAAGCGTTTCGCCTGAGACGTCCTCACCATTTATGATCCTGAAGCTGAAAACATTGACACCAGTTTCATAGATGGAGGGCGGGTGGTTTTAAACATGTAGCTCTCACCTTAGCGCCGCGCACATTCGTTTTCAACACTCGCAAGAGATTCACGGTTTGAGGGCGGGTGGTTTTCCAAATGTGGCTCTCGCCTCAGCGCCGGGCACATTCGTAGGACACATTTGCAAGAGCTTCACATATTGAGGACGGTTTATTTTCAACATGTGGCTCTCGCCTTTGCACCGCGCACATTCTTTTGCAACATGTGCAAGAGTTCCACGGATCCCCGGTATCAGCGTATCAGAAATTATGTTATGGAAGGGTTCAGGGATTATGAGGGTGCCGCAGTTACTTTGACTCGCGGTACTGAAGTCCCCAAAATCGTGTTCTGGCACGATTCAATATCGTCAAGACGCCAGTCAGATGGATCCGTGGCGTTGGAATCCCGAGAACAATGTTTCGGCATGCTTCAGGGTCGTCAAACGGTTGTCTTCCAAGAAGCCAATTTCGTGTGGAAATGAACCGTCGTAGGGGCCTAAGAAGAGGGAGCTTCGATGGAGGGTTGATTCCAATGTCGTTAATGACTCTTGGGTTTTCACTGGTCCTCATCATCCTTTCCCCTCCTCGACCTCCTCCTCCTCCTCCTCCTCCTCCTTCTCCTCCTCCTCCTCCTCCTCCTCCTCCTCCCTGCTTCGCCTCCTCCTTCCTCCTCTGATTTCTCCACATCCCTCCTCCCTCCTCGAGACGCAGGAGGGAGGGAGGGAGGAGGAGGAGGGAGGGAGGGGAGGAGGAGGATGAGGGAAGGAGGAGGAGGGAGAGAAGGAGGGAGGGGGGAGGGAGGAGGGAGGGGGAGAGGAGGAGGAGGAGGAAGGAGGAGGAGGAGGAGGAGGAGGAGGGGAGGAGGAGGAGGAGGACCTGGAGGAGGAGGAGGAGGAGGAGCAGGAGGAGGAGTAGGAGGAGGACGAGGACGAGGAGGAGGAGGAGGAGGATAAGAGAGGGAAGGAGAGGGAGGGAGGGAGGGAGGAGGATGAGGAGGAGGAGGGATGGAGGAGGAGGGAGGGAGGGAGGGGAAGAGAAGGCGGATGAGGGGGAGGAGGACCCGGTCCTTGTTGCGCGGGGAGATCGGGAGCGCGCTGTCGGCGCCCCGCGCCAGGCCGAGGGGGAAGAGCTGGCGGACCTTCTGCAGCGCGGAGGGCGCCTGGCACGGGGTCGTGTTCGGCGACAGAGAGCGAGCGGCCTAGGGCCTCTGTGGACCTCCGCGGCCCTATCATAAACGTAATCCGACAAGCCCTCTGGGCGTAGGTGGTCTGGGGAGGCTCCTCTTCCAACCCCTTATCACTGCCCCCTATGAATATACACCCCCTCTCCCAGGCGACAGGCAGCCAACGAAGGACATGGAGAACCCCATGGGGCCCCCCCCCACCATCCCTGCCAACAAACAATACAAAATACACGTTGGGGCAAAGTCTGGAGTCGTGTCCGTGAGGCCCGCGAGAACTTTGTATTGTTCATTGACAGGGACGGCGGGAGTGTCAGCATACTGCCTGCTGCGCGCAGGGCTACCATCCCTGACAACAGAAAAAACAATACAAAATGCGCCACGCGGCTCAATCTGGATCATGCGCGGCCACCCCGCGATCACTGCCAAGTGGTGGCTTATGGTCTGGTGTGCGCAGGCCCACCAGACACAATGATGGGCATTGGTTTTCGGCATGAATGGTGGGGGCCGACATGTTTCCCGATGTATGCTCTCACGTGCGCAGGCGCACCTGACACACTCTGCACGTGCCCCGAACGTAGTGTACCTGGCGAGGCTGGAATACGCGGCAGGCCTGGCGCACGCGGAAGCACGTGGCGCATCTGGCGCACCAGGCGTGCCCGGCACGCTCGGGCCCCAGGGGTGCCTGGCGAGCGTGGCGCGCGCGGCACGCCTCGTCCCAGCGTCGCGTACATGGGCTCGGTGTTGGCTCCCAGTAGCTGTCCATCCAAAGACAGCTGCTGCACATGCTGAGGCTCGGGTGCTACTTATGTGTTGGAAGGGCGGGTGGGAGTGAGCTAGACGGCTTTCTATCTAGGAAGGTGTCTTGACCCCTGAACCTGGACGAGGCGCCCCGCGAGCGGTCAGAGCATCTAAGACGGCCAAAGACGGCTCCAAGAAGGCCTCAGAGAGCCCAAGATGACTTCCAAGACGGCCCAAGATAGCGCAAGATGGCTCAATATGGCTCCCAAGATGCTCCAAACCCCAAATTCGCTCCAAGACGGCTTCAAGAGGCCACGGAGCCTCCCCAGGAGGCCGCCAAGAGGCCCACATCCTTTAAACACCCGGAG